AAGAGACTCGATATACTGCTGCAATAAAGCTGCTGCATTTCTACTTTTGAGTAACATCTACTGCATGACCATGCCACATAAACAAGCTCACAGATGAAGCAGTCACAGTAAGTTTCAGTAGTTTATTTTGTCCAGCACTTAATAAGCACAAAAATACAGCAGCAAAGATTTCCTTGGTTTTTGAGCTTATAAGAAACACAAACTCTTGCTTTCTGTGACAGGACCACCTTCAGCTGTACTTTTAGGATGCTAGAGTCTCCAGATCAGTAATTTCCCAACTCTGGCACAGTCCAAGTCTCCAAACTGGCAGTACTGCCATCCATTTTCTTCCTGAAGATCCTCAAAAAGCACCATTCTGCATAAACTACTCAGGAGCCATTTAATGACTGAGTATTTTTATCAAAGAACTACTACTGACAGCGTTTCACAGCTAGTGCTGCATCATAATCATGTCTGAGCACTACCTCACTTACAAAAGTAGCTACATGGACCTTAATACTGCTCTCCAAAGCAACTAGTTGCTTAGCAGAAAGACTCTACTTCAAGTAACAAAGTCATGCTGGAGGGAAAAAACAAACCAATGCCCCACTTCACTACTCGAAGGTCATAGCAGTGAACCTGGTACAAACTCCCACTAATTCCAGGATTAGGAGGTCACACAACAGCTTTAAAGTTGCTTCTTTAAGTGATGAACTCAACTGTTAAGAATTGTAGAACCAGCCAATAACCTATTTTCCAGCTAATGCAAAACCTTACTAATCTCAACTTTTTCAAAAAGGTTCATTATAACACAACGCCTAAAGCAAAGTTCTTGTCCTGCTGTTGTTAAAGCGCTGAACAGTCTGTCCAAATCCAGGTGGATAAACTGATTAGTTGTCAGTCACTGGAACGCCTTTACCTCATGCAAACAATGGAAATTCATTTGGCTTGTGAGTACTGTGATCCACAGGTATCATTTTTTACAATTAGCTAAGAACTCATCCTGTAAGAAGAATTCTTCACTGAATACTCCAGCTATTAGATTATCAGCTACTTCTGGATGAAGCAAGCTTATTTCAAGTTTTACCCTGTTCCAACGAAATAAACTTAAATCTAAAATCCTATGAACACTTAACTAGCCTGTAGCTGAGAATAGCATTTCACTTAATTTTACAGGCTACCAATTCAGTGAATCTGAAGTGCTCTTGTCAACCACAACTGAAGGTCCATCTAGCAACAACTTATATACTCGAAGTTTAGAATTATTCATTTGAGAGTGCCTGACTCAGTGATTCTCGTTACACCAGCCAAAAGCCTTTAAGAGGTGCCCCTCACAACTCCTTAATAACTGCAGCTTTCCTGAGAAAAAGCATACCTAACTTCACTAACAATTAAAACCTGCACATCTCTGTTTTCCCAACAGGTGCTTCATTCTGCTCCTGTTCAAACAGGAATGTTTGTCAAGCCACACAATGAAGATTCATATTAGAAAGCCATCCATTACTAATAGGCTTATGTTTGATCTATTCTTCGCTTCTACTTCCCCCATGATCACTTGCAGAAGCAAGAATGAAAAGCTGAAAAAAGGTGCAGTATCATCTTTCAGCATGAGCACTTCAACCGTCTCAACTATGACATTAATGCATAGTTGGCTCTATTACACTGTCAGTCTCTCTCTCCTTTCTCCTCTAAATACCCTTGAACTCCTGTCAGTCCCTTTGTATGGCTAAAGGTTAACAACAGTGTTTAAGTAACAGGTCTTAGCAATGGCTCAGACCAGACATGCATGCACAGACAGGCTATCATGGCAAGTAAGAACCACAGGTGTAACTCCTGGAGAACATACCACCCACTGAAGTATCCTCATTAAGGAACAAATTGTAGTTCAGTAGAAATTGTTAGTTTCCCTGGTAAACTACACGCCATTTTTTATCCAGTCTCCCTCTCCTACAGCTCTTTTCTTTCCTTCGAGATTAAAACAGCTTGCATCAGATTGGGCATAGGGCAAATGTCCCATCTCAAAGAAATACACACATTTTGTTTTTACTCATTTTCCACAGCACAAATAGTTCAGAATACACAAGACATTGCTTTGAGACTGCACTGCAATGCTGCCGGAGCTACTGCTTCCCTGAGAACTGCTAGTAAAAACAACCTTAAAACAAACAAAAAATTTTTACCAGCTCACTAAAACTTGCCTTCATTCCCATATAATAAAATCTGTGTCGTAAAATCACAGCCACACCTGCATTCAAGTGCTGCTGCAATAAGCTGCAAGTAACACAGAAAACTTTTAAAGTAATTAATTTCTTGGTTTTCAAGCAAAATCTGTTATCAAATTGAGTTACCTAAAAGGCTGCTTTAAGAACTAAAATTCTAGCTGGTTTTCTGTATAAATTATTCTATAACATAAGCATTCAAACGGTTCTCTTACAGGTAATTACTATTTCATAATTACAGAACACATGCCTAAATGAAAGTACTAATGAAATGGTTTTCCCTCTCATCTTCAGTTGAAATTAATGTTCTCCCTTTAACAGATCTGCAACAAAGTATTTGGAGTGTCACAATGTCAAGTCCCACATAAATCAGTGCTGTGCTAAAGAATCACCGTACACTGAAAGCTTCTCTGGAAGCTTCTATTACAAGGATTATTTACCTTGGGTCATTCGATGCCTACACAAGAAGAATCAGCAATCCAGTCATTTTAATGTTTGATCAACAAACCAACTGCCTCCTCCTAACACCATTTCCAGTAAGTTTAGGGGGGGGAAAAAAAAAAAAAAAAAAGGACAGCCTCACAATCTCTAGGACTCAAGAACCTTGCTCTTTATAGTATGCACAGAAATCAGTTGACACAATGCTCAGCTGACAGCCACCTTCTGACACGCAAAAAAGGCAGGATTGCTCTTTTAGAAAAGAGAGCTTAAATCTTAGAACCTAAGTTCAAATGAGACTACAGACTTTTGAAAGCTTCACAGTCATTCCTAATTATTGGCTTCTCCCTTTCTTTCCTGGTATCCTCTATAAACCTACAAAGGAAAAACGTAGTGCTGTTAGCTGCTTCCAATCCTGTTTTTCTACCCCATCTCCCACAACACAGGGATGCCCTGCAGGCTATATATGTGACCAATATGAACTACTTACAGTAGCTCCCAAGTCCCCAGTCAGTTCTTATGTAACTGAACTCCACCTCACCATATTACTTATGTAACACGTATTAAAGAGCATCTATTATACAGGAATCTTCTCTATTAGTCATACACTCAGTTACTTTCATGCCAGTTCTCAAACAGCACATTTGTGAAACACTCAAGCTTTATGCTCTACGAGGTTGCTACTGTGGAGATAAAAAGAAAAAAAATCCCATCTTTCCAGAGACAGGCTAAGAACAGAAAAAGTGAAGTATTTATGAATAAACCAAACAAACACCCTTAAATCACCAACAATTTTAACTGTTAATTTGTTCATTGAGTTAGATGCAGTGGCTAAATTTACACTCTGGCACACAAGAACAAGACGTGGGAACTAGCATTGAATTGCTTTGAAAGTAAGAGAACCTCAACCAAACAAGTAACAGGAGTTGCATTCCTTAAAGAAAAGGGTTAGGATTGGAAAACATACATTTTTCACTTCCCGTCCGGCAAATACTGAAACTTTTAAAAAAATCCATGAAATATATTTGTCAACCTTCCAGGCCTATCCGGACCTGTGTAATGAGTTCTTTTTCCTATGGACCTAAAAGCAAAACATGGGGAGTCCTCACAATATTCGCAGACCATAGTCCTCATTTGGACTAAGTATTTACATCAATTTCCGTGTTAAAGATGCAGGCCATCTGAGGCCTGACTTTGGAATACACCTATCGCTCCACAGAAAGCTGCTCAACCCCTGCAGGAGGATTCAACAACACACGAAGAACAGCGATCCACTTTTCCTGTTCAAACAGAATAAAGCCATGAACACCTGGAAGATTTTTCCCTTGGCCCCTTCACCCGTACCCCCCGGCAGAGCAACACTAAAACAGCCACGACCTCCTCGTCAGAAGAACAACTCCGCATAGCCTGTGCGTTTTCCTCAGCGGCTTTAATGAGGTCATTTGGACATCGCTTAAAACGACTATTCCAGTAAGAACCACTCCGTAAGCCCCTGGAACTTAAGAGCAGAGTGCCTTCGCACCGAGCGGGCGGCACTGCCGTGAGCGCACCCAGCTCCCACGCTCGGGCGGAGCCAGCAGGCGCACAGGGGGAACTTTCCCTGGAGGTGGGTAAAAGCCTTGCGCAGAGAGGGGGCGGAATGGAAAGCTTCCCCCAAGAGCAGCTACACCCTGGAGGTGGGTGGAGAGTAAGGAGAAGCGAGAACCTTCCTCGGCAGCAGCTACACCCTCGTGCATAAGGCTGATGGGGGAAGGGAACCAGCGCGGGCCCGACGACGTTGTGCGGGAGGAGGGGAGGGAAGCCCGGGCTCTCCCGGGCAGCCGCCGCCGCCGCTTAAGCCAGCTTGGTCCGCAGCCAAACCCCACAGGAATGCAACGCGGTCACATGACCTCCGGCGGACGTGCAACTCCCTTCCCTCTCCAGGGACACCCTGCGCCATCTTGTACTGACGCAGTTACAAAGGCGGGCACGAGTTGCTCCCCTCTCGCTCGCTTCCCGCTCCTCTCGGCACAGCCCCGGCACTATTTGGGAAGGAGAAGCCTAGGCCTGGTCCTGCTTTCCTTTTCGCCAGCTCTTCGGGGACGCCCTGCCCGCGTAGTCCTCCCTGGCGCTGAGATCATGGCGCCCGTTTTCTCCCTTTGCCTCCCCCGGCAGCTCCCGACCCTGCCCAGCTGCGGCTGCCCCTGCTGCAGGATGATGTCAGCGCCAGCCAATCAGGGCGCGCCGGGCCACCCGGGCCGGCCCAGCCATTGGCTGCCGCGCCGCTCCCGCCCCCCTCCTGACTCGGACTCCGCCGCGGTTCGCTGCGGAGCCGCAGCCAAGGCACAAGTGCGGGGAGGGGAATAGGAGGGGAAGGGAAAAAAAAAAAAAAAACCCTACACAAAAAACCGACAACCAAACCCACCAAGACGCCAGCCGCCATTTCGCGCAACAACAGGGAGAACCCGAGCGAGCAGCCCCAGCCAAGCGCCCTAAGGAGAGAGAGAGAAAGAAACAAGAGATACACGCACAGAAGAGTTAGACAGGAAAAAAATACCCATAGACTCCGCCATGATCACAAGACGTTTAATCGCCCCCCCTCCTCCCTCAGACTTAATGCCCCATTACAGCCGCCTCCTCTGCGTCCAACCAGCTAGCAGATCCCTTCACCTCGGCTCCCTCCTGCCGCAGCAGCAGCTGTTTAGAGCCCCAAACTCTCTGTGCCCAAGGTGTGGGGGGACGCTAGTCTATGGCGCTGCTGCTAACTGCTTCTCCAGTCACCCGAAAGTGGCGGCTCCATCGAGGCAGGGTAAGAGCTGCCAGCCCAGCTTTTATCTGGTGCCCCGAGTTTGCGCACTGAAGGAGGCTCGCTCAGCCCCTGGTGGGCGTCGAACGAAACCCCAGCCGCCGCCTCCCCTCCCTCCATCAGCCGTATCGCTGGAGGGGCTGAAGCCGGGCAGGGGAGGCAGGGCGGCGTACGGGTACAGCGGCAGCTGGGAGGAGATACGGTGTTAGGAAGGGGGGCTCCTTACGAGTGGCCGGGGCTGTGCCTGCCCTGAAAGGCTGAGCGAGCTCCTGGTTTTGGCAGCGCCCGCTGGTCTGGATGGAAGCGCGCCATTCCTGCTCCCCGAGCGCTCTTCCCTAAAGGGCAAACGAGGCTCTTTCGCTGCTTGTCTCGTTCCCTACAGAACAGAAATGCCTTCAGGGAGTGCTGTCCCACTCGCTTTAAGGAAAGAAGCTTTCTCCCACTTGCCTTTGAGTCCTAAACGCTTCGGGGAAGATTCTCAGCCTCGAGTGTCTGAGAGTTTCAGTCAAAACCTCCTGAGCAGGTCTGCAAAAACTCCCGCTCCTTTCTCGCTCCCCTCTTCCCCGCCCCTCAGGTAGTTCTTCTGCGTATGTGAGATCCGGCAGGTCTGCCCGGCTTTTCGCGCAGTCTAGGCCGAAAATGTGCTGTTAGAGATTCATAAAGAACACGTATGCTGACACCATCGACGTCGTGAGGAAGAAGCCGGAGGTTGGGGGTGTGAGAGCGGCCGAGGAGGGAGTTTTGGCGTTTATTCCTCCGAGGATGCAGCTCTGACTCAGACACCCTCGCTCCCGCCCGCGCTCGGCCTCACAACAGGCCGGGACGGAGCCCCCGCCCCTCCCGCGCGTGCTGCGCCGCCGGGGCTGCGGATCGCCCCCGGCGCCAGCCCCCGCTGCCGCCGCCCCTCCTCCGCTGCCCTACTTCCCTCCTCACGGCCCCCCTGCTCAGCCCCTGCCGCAGTCTGGTGCCGCGGCCGCGCCCAGACCCCGGAGCCGTTCAGCGTGTTGCAAAATGGACTCTGAGGGCTCGGCGGGCGCGGGCTGCGCTCCCAGCCCGTAAGCAAAATGGCGGCTGTTTGGCTTCGCCTTGGTAACCCTGCCCCTGTCAGGCGGGGCGGGTGAGCCCCGTGCAGGGGGAGGGAGGGGAGAGCGGACGCCATTTTCCCAGAGAGAGGCAGTGACATAGAAGGGAGCGTAGGAGGCTGGAGGGAGGGAGGCACGGGAGCAGCGGCGGCAGCACCGGGGTTTGTACACAGGTCCCAGGGCAAAGGCGCCTTTGAGCTGGTCCCTGTAAGGTTCTGCGCACTGAGCTAGGTTTGGGGGGAGGGGGGGTCTCCTCTTTCCCTTTTCTTTCTTTTGCTAGCGCCTTCTGAGGGCTGAGTCCTACCTAGAGTAGGGATATCCGCAGTGGGGCTGTTGCATTGTTTTGGTTGGGATAGAGAAGGGGCTCAGCTGAGGGGTCCTGCTGCCTAGCCTGTGACCATTACAGGTGAGTCTTTGGTTATTACCAGCATATTCTGCTGTGGGTGCTTTGGGGGAGGGGGAGGTGGAAGAAGGGAGTGAAATGCGACGGGAATGTCTCATTACCTTCGGTGCTAGTATAACTCCTTCCTACCCTGAAATGTGTTTAATTTCTGTTTAAGTTGCCTTGAATTTGCTTTTCCTTTTGTGGGGTTTGGTTAAAAAATGGCAGGCTGTCGCTATATCTTATGAATATGGCGGGTTACTGTAACTGGAGGAGCTGAGGAGAATTTTTTGGCAGTTACGCCAGATTTATGCATTATGCTTGGAAAATGAGCCAAAAGGAGCTATTATGTGACAACATAGGCTTCCTTGGGCTGGCGGTTTTCAGAACGGGTTTGTGCGTTATTGGGACTGCGTATTGAGTTTTACGAAGCTTGGGGAAGCCTATTCTTTTCCTCCATCCTGTATATTTTTGCTTTGTGGTACTAAAATGGCTCGTTATAGGCCTAATCTCTTTGCCTTCCACACCCCCGCCTCCCTGCCTGCCTCCCTGTTAATATCTCCGCTTCGTGGTGTAACCTGGACAAACGGAGAGCTGTCCCCAGGAGTTTCTGTGCCAGTTTAAAAGGGGATCATTCTCCCCACCCCCTTTCTCGAGGCTGTAAGTAGTTACACTGGTGCACCCCTTTATTGCCTTAGTTTCTGCAGCCAGTGATTGTGTTCCCTGGGTGGCATATTTCATTCTCTTTCCTGAAGCAGTAAGTATTGGTGGGTCAGACCGTATTGCTGCAGACACAGGGGAAGAGAGACAAACGGTTCACTGTGTACTACTAAATAGGGTAGAGAAACATAATATAGCCTTGATTATTAAGGTCCTGTATTCCCTCATACTCGGCTGTTAGGGTACGTGCGGTGTCTGAAAGCCCTGAGGTCCCTAAAATGGTACATACTACGTGTCGTCAAAAGCAGAAGTTCAGTGCTGCATCTAGATTTAGGAATGTTTTAGTCTGTTTATTTACAGTATCTTAAAGGAATAATAACGAAGCATTTTTGCTACTCGAGGTTCAGATCAGAGAAAAGCAGGAGATATCCATGGTAGTACTTGCAACGTATGATTAATTGATTATCATCACTATACTTTTAAAGTTACTTTTAAAAAAATGTGGAGCAAATTTATTAATTTCCCTCTTTTGTCCTTTAGAGATTCTAAAAATGGCGGCCTCAGGCTGATGTTGTGGTAATCTAATCAGCTCGGGTCCTCCACACCCCATGCAGTGCGTTTGTCTGCAGCATATTAGTGTCTTACTATGTTTAAATGAAAAGGCTGTTCCCTTCAAATAACGTACAAAACAGCTCTTGACTTTACTGCGATTTAAAAATGCTGTGTTCCAGCTGATTAATTTTATTGGTTATGTGTGTGAAAGGCAAGTGAACGAGACCACTCTTGTCGGGGAGAAGGGGGGTGGAAAGAGGCAACAGACTCAGGCAGCTCCTTCGAGGGGTGTGTGTATGGTACTGTAAGGTAATATGTATGTCAGTTCAGTAGATTGGAAAAGCTCCTGCGTTTGTGATCGATACTGTACGACTGTCCTACTAACGACATAAAATCAGTAATATTTATCAACGCGCGTAGTGGATTACGATCACTAAGTCAGCCAGCTGAATTCTTTGTGGAAACACATTTGTGAATGTCATGTTCATCTTCCAGGAAATACCTTCACTGGACATCGGTGTAGTAATTCCGTGTATTCATAGTTTGAGAATACAGAATGAACTTAAGGGAATAATATACGCAAGATTATAACCTGTTACTTTATGTGAAGACATGGAATTTCTTCCACTGCCATATAATCTTGGCATTACGTTTTTTTTCTTCAGTTTATTTTGTATATTGCTGTATAAATTGTATATGTGATAATTCACATACAAGTACTGAGGGAAAGTGCGGTTCGTAACCTCTAATTTTTTTCCTAAATGAAATATGAACCTTTTAGTATCACCACTATAAATATGTTTGAGTGGGGGGAAGGGAGGTCACAAGGATTCATTATTTGGTAGTTGGTGTAGTGTACTCTGATACATACTATAGAGGCTGCAAATTGTATGTTTTAAGCAACAATAACAAAAAATAAATTTTCGCCTTTTTTCTAATGCCTGTCTTTAATCTCGTCCTTTAAATTAATGAGATATGAATTCCTATTCCAGTATAGCTTTAGAACCTTCTGGATTTAAATAGTCAAAAGTGAGGTATTGAAGTGGCAAAGCTGTCTTCAATCTCTGACGAATTTTAATTTGAATACCATTTAGGAGCACTGATGTGGGATTTAAGGTATACCTGAAGTTGAACAGTGAGGTAGTTAGACTTTCAGGGTGTTGTTAATGCATGCCTTTAGTGTGTTTTGAGGCCAAAGGTTGAGTGATTTCATTAATTCTCCAGTAATGCGTGCTCCCATCTTCTTTATTTATATAAATACTTTTTTTTTTCCTAAACCACGTCTTATTCTCTTTATTTAAAAGTACATGAGAAAGACTTTAAAAGGTGTATGGGCCTTTATGGAAACCTTTTGCTTTTTTCTTTCCTTGCCTTCAGTTGAAGGTTCCTGTTCTTGATTCTATACAGTCTGCAGCTCTTCTTTGGCCTCTGTCATGTTCTCAAGCAGACATCTGATTCACAATTAGAGGAAAATAACTTTGTACACTTTACAAAAAGCGTTTGGAGGAGGGTAACGAAATAACCCAAAAAATACTAATTTTTCAATTTTTACGTCTTATTTTATGCATTAAGAACCTCTTGGGAATTTAGAGATTTTCCATAGTTTTCCTGTATGAGTTTTAATGAGTCAGTTTGCCTTCGTGACTCAGTTTCTCCATCTGCAAAAACAGACCTGTGGTTTGTTTTAAGGAGATGAGGCTATAAAACAAATTTTACTTTTATTTTTAAGCTCCATTGATGTTTTTATTTATGTAGCCATAAAAAATGGAATACTCCCACTCCCCCAAAACTAATACAAACTTCTTGAAAGAGGGAAGGTTTGAAATCTAAATTCCTTCTTTTTTAATACATGTCTCTGTTCCACATTGTTACAAATGCAATAGTATGGATTGGATTTATGAAACCATTTATGTATCTCAGAGTTTTTCATATCTAAAGGAAAGATTTGCTCGTCACTGAGCCTTTTGGGTGAGTGTTTTTGCCATCTGGGAAATTCCACAGGGGAAATAATAGTGACTCCTTATACTAAATCTAGGGAGAGTTTCTCTTGGGACTAAGTAATGTTTTCAGGTTACTTTGAGGTAGTGCAACTCCCGATTTCTCTTGGACAGTTTCAGCATACACAGCTATTGAAGTTCTGTTGGAAAGCAGCAGAAATACAGAAATCGGTGTCACACTGAAGGCTGAAGTGTTTCTCCAGTTTTGATTTTGTTTTGACTAAGGACAGTCTTAATTTTGCATGCACGCTAAAACTAATTTTAGTAAGGACTATTTGTGGGACTGAGTTAAGAAGTGGTGTATGTAATTGTGGAATCGTGGTATTGTTCTAACTAGATTAATGTACATGAAGGTTTAATGAAAGTATTCTGCTGTTGTCACGTGACGTTCTAACAAAATGTAGTGGGAGGGGTATAGATGGGTGAAGATATAAAATAGAACCCAATTCAGACTTCTGCAGAGCTCCTAAGAAGTGCATCTATGTTATTTGCCTCATGACTTCCATACAAATGAGTATTTGTCAACCTCTCAAAAGCAGATTTTGTTGGACAGTGTTTGTTTTTTTTCAACAGGTACACTGTTGGAGTGTTTCCACTATGCAAATAGTTCTGATTTATTGCTGAATGACACTTAAAGTATCCCTGGGGGAAAAAAGTTTCCACAGATGCGCAATGTGGATTAGGGAAGAAACTCTCAATTCCATGCTTCCAAATTCTGGATTATTTAAAATATTAATTGTAGTGATCTTTTGAATGGTGCAAGATGGATATTTCTATTGACTTCAGTGTTCACATTCTCTTAGTAACTGATGAGTTGTTCCCACAAAATGAAATCTCTTTGAGGATCCAAAATTCTGCTCGTGACCTTCACATTACAGAAGAAACCTGCTGTAGTTGTGTTTGAAGAAAACCTGCTGTTAACCTTTAAGGCATAACAAACAAGTACTTAAAAGAAACCTTTTCAAGATTTCATATACTTGCTAGGGAATATTGATATTCTTTTTATTTCCTTTTGCAAATCTTAATGTATTAATGAAACAGGCAAGATTTAAGCTGTGTTGGTTGTTAGAAAATTTTAATAAGGTTATCTGTAAACCTTTGACGAGAGTTAGTTTTATTGCACAGAGTATATTTTTTTAACGTGCCTGACCTAAGTGATTTTCTTATTTTTCAAAATTAAAATATGAGTAAGAACTGTAGTGAATCAGTGTCCATTCAAGTTATGTGTTTCAAAAGTGCGTGTGAAGATTACAGTATGTATATTTTAGTAGAACACAGGTTGCATCCTGTGCAAGTAGAGTGTGTTTGTTACTTTTGCATATTATATTACCAGAGCACTACCTCTTGTTTCATGTGATAGTTCATAAACTGCTTCAATGGAGGTCCATGGCTGTAAAACCTAAGTGAGACTCTGAAGGACCAGTAATTTTGCAAATTAGGCACTTGCCAAAGTAGTATTGTTTGTAGTTTTAGAGTTTAAAATTTGCACATAGTGTAGATACTACAATTTCATATTCAAGCTCAGGTTAATTAAGGAAAGCTTTTTTATTTTATTCTCATTTGTAGTTGCTTTTTTTTTTTTATTTTATACTATCATAATCTAGGTAATCATTCACTTTTATATCTTCATCACAAAAATAAATTGCCATCAAGTTCAAAGACAGGATGATAAGACTAAATTTTAATGACATTATTGTACTTTATATTGCAACTTAAGAAGAAAGCCATATAATCTGTTGTTGGCCCCCTTATCATATAATGGTGTGAGTAGGGAGGGACCTTCAAAACCACTTTGTTCCAGTGCCTGTGCCGTGGGCAGGGACACCTTCCACTAGACCAGGGTGTTCAAAGCCTCATCAAAGTTTGGCCTTGGATTTCCGGGAATGGGACATGCCCTGCTTCCCTGAGCAACCTGTTTCTAGTGCCTCAGCACCCTCACTGTAAAGAATTTCTTCCTACCATCTAATCTATATCTCTCATCTTTTAGTTTAAAATTGTTCCCCCTTGTCCTATTACTATCTACTCATGTAAAAAGTCACTCTCCCTCTTTTTTTTATAAGCCCCCGCTAGGTACTAAAAGCTTTCGTGGAGCATTTGGAGCCTTCTCCACTCCAGGCTGAATAACCCCTGTTCTCCCAGCCTATGTAGGAGAGTGCTTAGGCCTCTGGATTGTCTTTGTGACCTCCTCTGGATCTGCTCCAAAAGAGCAGATCAAAAATTTCTTTCTTGTTTTGCAGACCCCAGAGCTAGACAAAAATCTGCAGGTGGGATTTCTTGAGAGTGAAGTAGAGGGGCAGGATCACCTCCCTTGACCTGCTGCCCACGCTGCTTTTGATGCAGCCCAGGGCATGGTTGGCTTTCTGAGCTGAGAGTGCACACTGCCAAGTTGTGTCCTGCTGCTCCTCAGTCAGCAGCTGCAAGCCTCTGTCCTCCTCAAGGCTCGCTCTCCACCCGTTCTCTGCCCAGCCTGTATTTGAGCTTCACTGTCCCAGGTGCAGCACCCTGCACTCGGCTGTATTGAACTTCACCCATGTTAAGGTTCATCCAGGCCCACCTCTCAAGCCTGTCAGGGTCTCTCTGGATGATGCCCCTTTCCTCCTGCTTGTTGGCCACCCCACAGAGCTTCATGTCATTGACAGACTTGATGAGAGTGTGTTAAATCCATGTCACTACCAAAGATTTTAAACAGCCGTGGTCCCAACACCAGTTCCTGAGGGATGCTGCTCATCACTTGTCTCCACTTTGACATCGAGCTGGACAGCTTGCAACTCAAACGAGTGCAGCCATGCAGCCAGTTCCTTATTCACCAAATGGTCCATCCATCACATTCATGTCTCTCTCCATTTTAGAGTTAAAGGTGTTGTGCTGAACAGTAATATATCAGTCACAGGGACTGATAAAACTAATAGCCTGTATTTGCCACTCAGGAATTTAAAGTTCTATGTAGAATGGTAGAATTGGGTCTCTTACCTTGAGATGTTCTGAATATTTAAATTTGTTTGGAGTTCATTACTCTTTAACCCTTCTAAATTAACAGGGCTGAAGATACTTTTTGACAGTTGGTGATGCTCTTAGCTTGCCTTGAGTAGACAGAGAGACCTAACTTCTAATTGGAATGGTTATAATGGGCCTGAGTTGAAAACTGTGTCACAGACAGATGATATTCAAGTCTAGACGGTTAATCCTGTTTTAAATATTGGTTTAAAGAAGTTTTTCAATAAGGAGTGGTTTTAGTCAGTTCTGCTTGAACTGAAGACTTGAGAATGACAGCAACTTATATATAACTTTTGAGGAACGTACAGAGTGATTATATGTGTCCTTTGATTTCCAAACCTAACATTCTAGAACTGTGAAAGAAACATGAATACTTTATATATAATTCATAAACAATACAGTAGTTATTTCACTGGTGATATGGGTAAGGTTCCTCCCTCAAATGCTTACCAAGTAATTACACTGATTGCTTTTTTCGTTTGCTTCGGATAGGAGCATTTGATGCGAATCTTTAATATCTTTAATATTATGAATGATTTTTATGAATGACTGTGTTGTGGGGGTCTTTTAAATGTTTGTTTTTCTGTCTTACTTTCCAGTAATATCTTTTGTGCTGAAAGACAAAAGCTGAACATTGCTTTTTGTTCCTTTCTGTGTGGCAGTAGTAGTGAAAATTAAAGCTATTTATTGAGCTTCCATCGCTGGGCAGAATTTCTTTGTGCTTATTTAAAGATGAGGTATTTTATATATCTGTTACTACAATTGTAAAACATACTGAAACCTCAATTGAAAACACAAAGCTATAGAGTTAAAATGCATGGAATCAGAATTTCTTAACCCAGATAATACAGTTTTGCAAAATAATTGCAACTGAAAATAAATTAGGTTTTGTTTTCTTGAAAGTAGGAAGGTTCTTTTGATCTTACACTTCTGTATTTTTTTTGTGTGTCCTTGAACATGAAATAGTCCCTCCATCTGTTCCCTCATTTTCTTTCTTGCCAGTATCTTCCCCAAGTTTTTGTAAAGAACATTGAAATACTGCCAAATTGTTACCAAAAGATATAGTCCAGGTTGACCTGTAGTTAAAATTACACAATGGAGTTCTTCTGACTGCCAGAAAGAATTAAAAGTTTGTGTTTGAAAGAATGTGACTTTGTGACTTGTGTTTAGATTCCTAGATATAAGTGTAGCAGTTAGGTGAATGTCTACAAATTGCTTCCATGAGTAAAAGTAGAAGCAGCTATTGAGCTATTTAGATAAATCAAATGCCACAGATAAAAAAGAGGAGCTAGGTTTTGAAATCTGTGTAAGTGAAAATACATCAAAACAAAAGCATGCTTAGCTGAAGTGAGACTTGAAATAAGCCAAAAGAATTCACTTCTTGTGTAGTAGGTAGCTAATAATTACAGTGGACTCCCAAGTCTTTTTAAGCAGCATAGAAAAAATATTTTTTAATTTGGTATCATGAAGCCTGCAAAATATTAGTAGTGTTGAAGGTGATATCAATATCTATTTTCAGCTACATATTTTTTCACCCCCAAATACGTACTTTTTGGGAGGAATATTGGTGACTGAATTGCCATGAGGTATACTGTTCTATTTAATAAGAAATAAATAGGCTTAGCCCATACAGTTGTAGACGTTAATTTAGAGTGTTCTTACAGAATGTGGTCTGTATATAAGTGTAGAAAGCCTTTATATTTTAGGATATTTGTCAAGAATAATAGTGTAAGGTAAGAGATGAAATGTTTTCTTTGAGAGTAATTGCTAAGTCAGATATAGGCGGTTTGTCTAAGTTTAATCAACAGCTTTTTATCATTTTCTGCTAGATGGAGAAATACTCATTTGCAGTAAAATAGTTGACGCAAAAAATGACATGAAACCAAGGTATTTTTACTGGGAAACTACTTTATTAGCATTTTGAGCCTTTGAATTTTTCTTTAAAGGCTTTTTACATTTCTCAGTGATAGACTATAACAGGCTAATGTTAGGTAGCTAATATGTATTTCTCCAAGCAATAAGCAATATTGCTATGAAAAAATAATTTTACGCCTCTTCATGTGCTGTATTTGTTTTGTATTTTACAGTTCTTTGGCTTTCCAGCTCATAATAATTGCTGTTTTTTGCATGGCTCGGCCTCTTTTTGGTGTGATTTGTTTTCAGAAGTATAGCAAGTGTTTAGTAAACTTACAAACATCAAACAATTGGCAGTTAATTTTCAGTCTTGGGTGTTGACTTCTGCAAATAGAAAATTTAAAATCTGTAAGCATGTTGTGCGTTAGTATATCTCTGCTTACTGCTTCTTTGATTGATTCCTGTTCAATAAACTAATTCTTATTCTTTCTGTAACTGCTTTTACCTTTATTTCCCTTCTACCACTCACTCTTTTTCTCTTCCTAGTCCCATATTTTGTCTAACTTCCAGTGAGAGAAGAAAAGGAGTGAAGAGAGAGAAGAGGTAAGGGCAAGTCTTCATGTTTTGAGAGACTGGCATAGATATTTGAGGAAGAGACCTTGCTTTCACTCACACAATAAGCAAGAGTTGGACCAGATAGTAAGGGAAAGTAGCTTATGTGTGGTGGAAAGCAGCTTTGGTGTATAGCAGAGGCTAGAGTGTGTAGTCCATGTTATGACCCGTGTACTGATGGAAACTCAAGCTTTTTATGCATAGATCTTGGATACCGTGAAGGAGGCAGGGGATTTTATTTCTTTCTGTTAGATACTAAACTCTGACCAATTCATAAAGTTTGGCTGTCATTCCAAACGTGACTGGTCTTTGTTGAATGTAAAATCCTGCGTTTGTCTCAAGACAAACATTAGCTGAAACAGGTTGCCCAGACAATTTGTGGATATCCCATCTCTGGAAGTGTTGAAGCCCAGGTTGGATGGGGACCGTGAGCAACTTGGTAGCAGAGGTGTCCCTGCTTATAGCAGGGATGTTGGAGCTGGATGATCTTTCAGGTCCCTTCCATCCCAAGCCTTTCTGTGATTCTGTGCTAGTAAATCATGCTTATTGGCACTCTTTTAAAGCAAAGTTGGAGGAGGAGTCTTACTTTGTAGCTGGTTGTAATAGTAGTCTTTCTTAAATAAATTGGTCTGATGATTAAGTGGATCTGTGTCAGTACGAGCAGTTGTGTAATAAACCAGAAATTTTACAGGGCTAGGAATTTAGTAGCCTTGATCTATCTGAAGCTTACTGAAAAATCCAAAAGGAGATGGGGGGAAGCTGTGAGCAATGTCCTGTGAGAAACAGGGAGAGGAAGCATAATGATTTTAGCCATTGCGTGTCGTGTGTGACTTCAAACCAGCCGTAGCAGGTACTTTTTTGGATTTTTGCCTGTCTGACAGGGCACGTGAGAAGGAGGTTAGATGGACATGAGTACTGACAGTGTATAGGTGACCCTGAGCAGCATAGGAGATTATTTGGGGGCTTGAGAGTGAGGCTAGAAGCAGTTAATATTGTGATGAGGAAGAAGATACTGCTGAGGGGGATATAGAGAACATCAAATCAGTGGGGATGTTTGAGCACGCACTACAAGTGCCAGATTTCTTCTAGAACAAGTTGTTTCTTCTATATGATTTGCAGGAGTTGGTCATTAATAAGTCTTAATTTGTATATTTGAGTGTGCCTACTATGTCTTATTTTTCCTACTCTTTTTTTTTCTTCTGTCTCAGCACAAATTAGAAGTAAACTGCAAACTTAATCTCTTAGGTTACCATAGAAAGCAGCAAACAGTAGCAAATTTTTATTTGGACTTGCAGTTGTTTCTAAGCCTGCCCAGTTCTTACTGCAGCTGCAGTGGTGTAACATCTGCAAGTTGAATATCCACCCTGATCTCTTAGGAAAATCTGTATGGTTACAGAGCATGTTAAGGGAAACAGAGAAAACTTCCTTGTATGTAAGATTAGTCATTTATTCATGTATTCTGCTTCTAGGACTGATTAAAGGCGTGTTACCTCCTGAGAAACAGACAGCAATGAATAAATATTGATTACTTAATACGTTTATTTATGGTATGTGTATATATGCTGCATATTTTTTCCATATTTGTGTGTTGATACAAGCATATACATATATGCATATGCACAGTGTAGTTCATTATTTGAAGGATATCTAGAGCGTACCATTAAAATGCTGGTTTCTCTTGCAAATTTTGAAAATAATCTAATTCTTGTTAGGCTTCTATACTCAGACCAGTAGTAGAAAGCAGCAGTTCAGAAAAGCGTGATTTTATTTAATGAAATCTTCTTTAAATCTTTTTCCTTTCCCAATTAAAAATAAAGTTGAAAATCAAACAAACCCAGCAAACAAACAGAACCCAACATGCATACCTCCTAACCAAAAACAAACAAGCAAAAAAATTCCAAAGGGGGGATAAAACCTGTAGGTGGGAAAGCCAAGTAGTAAAGCTTAGTTTGTTGGCCTTGTGACAGTTCAGGACATTAGTTTTCACTCTGTGGACTCTGACAAACTACTGATAGTTGCATTTTTAGTTAGATTTCTCCTGTATAGATTGTGCTAGGGCATAGGTGCATCAACTTCCCTTAGGTCCAGTATTGTGGATTTCTTGCAGTGAAGGGTGGTTCCCATGACCATGGGATAAAATTATTGGCCTGTAAATCTCAAGGAAAGTATGACAAGAATTGCTTTTGCTCGTGATTGCAAAATGTGTGTACACATATGATGTAATTGGAGGGAGGAGGAGAATGTTTAGATTGCATTCTCAATAAATGCAACTTACTCGTAGAAGATGAATGATGAGGTAATAAAATGCAATAAAACAGAATACTACCTTTTGGTCATCTATTACCTGAGATGACTTCGTATAAACAAGTAACAGTAAGATATGCAGGAGTCAGCAGAGATCTGAAAGCAGTAATACAATCTTGGAAATCTTTGCATCTTGCCTGAAAGACCTTATTGATGTGGGAACCAGTAATTAGTTTGTAGTGATCCTTTGTACCTTTGGAGCCAACATGGACTTACAGTAGTGCGAATTTTATACTGGGAGCAAATGGAAGTTAAGAGTTTTGGTTTGGGCTTAGTGCTGTAGAACACTTCAGTATTCAGTTTGACTTGAAGTTACAACCAGGTTAGCATTGTGTGCTGGTAAAACTGAAAGGTCTTGCTTGACTCAAGACTGTCATGCAGATAGTTTGTGTTTTAACACTGAATTATTTTTTATCTGTACTTCTTGTAACTCTTCTACTCTTTCTCTTCTTCCTTGGTCAGTGCTTGAGTGGCAGATTGACTGCTCCAGCAGTTTCATTTGTTGCTTCAAGTTGATACCCTTAAGATTTGTACACATGTCATGGAAATGAGCCTTCATATATTCTGTGTGTATTCTGATACTGAATACTGCTCCAGGAAATGGTTATTAATTTCTTGCCTGGATGTAAAGGTGTGAGGGAAGGGGTTTACCAGTACTCCTAGTTTAGGAAAAGTTCTGTGCTTGTGTTCAGGGGAAATAAGCTCTGGGTAAAGGTGAGCTGAACTGCCCATTGCTGGGTAAATTGAGAAACCATGTAACTTTTTAGATGGTCAAGGGGGAATGACAGTCATTCTTGGCCATTTCAGTTACTCAGTTTACTACATATGGGAAAATTACTGCTTTCACCTTTATGTATTTTGTAATACATATTTCAAGCTATATAATTCTGCTTTTAAGGAAAGATAGTTGTTATATGTAGGTAGGTTAGAAGGTTTTGATTAATTTTTCTTCAACTCTAGTTATGTGGATTTTGTTTATGGACCTTGTGAGAATTCTGTGTAGACAGAGTATAGAGAGGGTAATTTGGTTAGTGTATGAATATTTCTGTCTTGACATTAGTTAAGGACTTCACTTTGAAGTCGTATGCATCAGTGTAAAATCTAAACTATCTTACACCAGCACTGTTGAGTCTAACGAAATAACAGAATTAGAATTAGATTTTTCTCCTTAAACCTCTGTGTTTAGGGAGATCCTTGTTACTTGCTTTGCAGAGGCATTCTGTGATTAAATCTTCTAAAGCTTGAAACCATCTAAACCATCTAATAACTGTTTTTTGAATCTTGTAATTGTTGATGGGTGATGGCTGATAACTGCAGAAAAAATACTGAAGAACTTTACATGTGTGTTGAAGCCATAAAAACAGGAACAAAATTATTTAGTAATTTTTAATGCCTAGTGATGTCAGAAGCTTGAACTGATCTAACAATCCATATACTTAAGTTAGTGTAGTCTTCTGTGTATGTGGGAAGATTGTTATATTTGAGGCAGGATATAATCTAACTGTAAGCTTAATTCATTATTCCAGTTATGCCCCTTTATAAATAAGAAAACAAATGTTAAGTTTCAAGTTACTTTGAATTCTGTTCCTAACTTCTATAGTAAAAGTATTTTTTCTAACTTTTGTATGTTTTTTGCTTTTTGTATTTGTCACATGACAATAGAATCTGAAAATTGATTCGTGGGAAGGGAAAAATGAGGAACAGTGACACTGTGTAAAAAGCTGTCAAGAGATGTGAAGAAAAACAGCTTTCATTAAGTTTTTTTTGTCTTGGATTTTTGTAGTATTAGACAACATGGTTTAAAAAAACCCCAACAAACAAAAACTCCTCGCCATATTGTAATAAATAATATTACTGTAAGTAATAATACTATCTTAATATATTAATATCTCTTTGGGATTTTTTTTATGTTTAAGACAAATAAGTTGTTACTGGTGTTGCCACCATCTCTTGTCGTGGATTTTTCATATAAGTTTTGTATGTGTGCATTGAGATGGGAGCTTTAGTATTCTTAGACATAGGGTCTAGCAGTTTTAAAATTACTGGTGTAATTTCAGGAGATCATGCACTTACCTTCTGATTCAAGAGCTCTCCTTTGTGTACCAGTGTAAAAGTTGAGTTTTTTTCTTCTGCTGTGACACAAGTGATAGATCACACTACACAAGTGATCTTAGCAATATATGACAGAAAGGAAATGTGGTCTTTGTTAGACCACAGAATAATGTTGCCTTGCTGGAATACCTTAGGGATAATGTGTGAGTTATTTTCTGTTCTTTAATGCATAAATTGTGTTCTCTATACAAAGCCACAGAGATTAATATTTTGGAATGTATTACGCTCTTCTGTTGTTTGAGTACAGTTAATTTTTACTAAAAGAGTCTTGGTGTCATAAACAAAGTGGATCATGAGAAGTATGGTGAGACTTCACATATGTTAGAGTTGATGTGGCTGTCGAGTCAGAAAGCTCCTGTGCATTCTCTAGAGATGAGAAGTGCCATTAAAAGTGTAAACCAGTATGAATGAATGGTGAAGTGTGATGGGTGTGAAGAGGTTGATCTTGCACACGATAAATGTTTTAACTAGATTGAACAGAAATTTTTCTGGGTTTTAAGATGAGCATTTTATTATTAGGGAAAAATAAATTTTTACTGCAACTAAATAAAAGCAAAATTAATTTGAATAAGGATGTTTTTTCTCATATAATAAAGCTGTAGGGTGATTATGAGAAAATCTTATGAATCTAAAAGATTGCCAAAATTCTTTGAGACCTTAGAGTGTATTATCACTAATAGAGTAAACTATAACAAAATTGGAGGGCCTCTACTGTTGTTAATTAAGATACAGTAGATGAGGCACTTTGCCCAGTAAAGAGCTCATCAATGAACTTTGGACTAGCGTTTTTATATAGTGGCTTTTAACTCCATGACCCTGACATTAACTGGAGAAACCAGTGTGGTCTTCCTGTCTTTCAAAGTAATGTACTGCTTGAAGAAAGACTTTCTTAAACATAAGTTGTGGAAATCAGTGTACCTGTGAAAACAGTTTCTTAAAGGCCATGGATGACAGTTTGTCAAGGTTCTGAAAAAATAATTACTTGAAATAGATGGATACGTGCAGGAATTGGAAAGTACCAAATCATGACAGCAGATAGTATTTTATGACTCATCAAAAATACCAAGCTTCAAAGGATAAGCAATCTCTTCATAGATAAAATTCCCCAGTAGTTGTGTTATGTTCTTCCTTAACTTACAAAAATACTGGAAATATTAGTATGTCATGACAATACTTCTGTTTCTGACATGGCAGAAAATAATTATTTTCCATCATTCCAAATCACTTTAGTGGTCATAATTGGATCGCCTATATATAAGGTCACAGTTCTGTTTAGTAAGTGGGTGTAGTGTTATTAATTTATCCTAGGTCTCCCCCCACTCCCATTACGGGCATTTGTTGAGGATGGCTACTCATAAATAATGAGCAATGTTTGTATTAACTTGGCTGTCTAGGTATTGCAAGCCAGTGACTGCCTTCATTCTTCCACATTTAACTATAGGCAGAGGAAAAGCTTTAGAGGGTTTTGTGTGTGTGATGAAGAAGATGGTCAAAACCAGTGAGTTAGTATTGCAATCATGTTCCATTTCCTTATAGATAAAACTTATATTTAATGCTCTTCAGACAAAAATAATCATGATTCCTCAAGTTTCTGATTTGGTTCAGTGTAGGTCAGGCTATTAGAATTTTTGACTAAATTCTGATAGAGCTGTATTTGAATAGTTTGCCATAGGGCAGGAGGTTTGTTTTGGCTGTGTGTCTCCCCTTTTTGTTGGTTTTTTGTTTTTTGGGGGTTTTTTTTGGGTTTTTTTTGGCATTGTTTTTGTTGTGGTGGTTTTTTAGAATGAATGGTTATGTATTTGCTTTGTCAGAGATTGTTATTAATTGGGACATGCATTAGCCATTGATTTTCAACTTATGCATAGCTCTTCTTTTTTCTGTGTTGCATTAAAAAAAAGTCCCAAATATCACTTGATTATAGATCACTTGATCATAGATTTGGTAAGCAAGTCTCTTCTTTCTGTATTGCCAGTGGAGGTCACTTGAATGTATGATGATTGGGTAACCTCAGTTGTTTTATGTAAATTTGGAGATGTCACAGCCCATGGGACAGCTGTCTTAAGTATGTTCTTCACCTCCATCAGTTTCCAGGGTGTTTTTGCCTGTGTTATTTTACAGCTGATGCATTACCTGGTCAGAAGCATTCCTGGTCAGAAGTGTTTAAAGAAAATGTTTTCAGAAAAACGACACCACCAACAAAATGAAGTTTAAGGGCAAGAAGCATCTTTATAAGTGAGGATCTTGATCCCAGGCAGTGTTGTCCAGTGTCTTTTAAGATTACATTGAACCACTAATGCTGTTTTTTAAGAATTACCTAAAAACAGGCATAAAGTAAAAACTATTCTGCTAATGATTTGGTAGCATAGGTCACACTGCAGGGAGTAATGGAACAGCCATTAACCGTATTTTACCTGCATTTTAAAAATTCATGGTATCTTTTCAGTTATTGGGTAAATTTTTACTTTTACAGAAGATGGGGACTAAATGGTGAGTTGATGTTTCCTCTGAGTTGTAGGTGCAGCCATTCAGGGTTCTGCCCTATGAGTAGAGTTAGCTGTATGGTGGGAAAATAAGTGCTCACTTAAACTGTTAGAGGAGCTTACGTTTTTTCCAAGCCTTCTATTGAAAATATTCTGTACCTGCTTCTGATTTAACATGTTTTTCTTGCTGTTTATTCTTGAAAATGGTACATTTTTTCTTAATTTTTTGCATAGCTAGTGGTACGGTTTTTTACTTGTGGTATTTAGTAAGAAAACACTCGATGTTTAAATGAGGAAAGCAGAGTTCCAATGGCTACTTGGCCCAATATCTTTCTAGTTCATTGTATTTGGTGTCTCACATAATAGGACCAAAACACAGCTTTTGCTGTTGAGAAGGAAAATGAACTAACTGTAGGTTCAGGCACTTCAAGCCTAACAAGAACATCTTGGCATGTTCTTAAGTTAATTGTTGATACTCAATAGTGTTACAAAATTTCGGAAGTTAGATGAAGACTTGCTGCCATCTTGTTCGTGCCACTTTGTCATCCCGAAGCTGCTGACCTAATCAATAAAAGAAAACAATTCGGATTTAATTCACAGCGTTCATCTGAAGTCCGTTTTTCACCAGGGGCTTGTGCTTTTTGTCGGTGTAGTGTTGGGCAAGGAAAAAACATGTTCAAGTGAAGTTCAACCAGGAAAAATGCTGGATTCTACACCTGGAATGGGGCAACCCTGGATGTAGGGACAGACTGGAGAATGAGAGGCTGGAAAGCAGCATCACAGCAAGGGACCTTGGGGGTCCTGTTCAGTGGGGACTTGAATGTGAATCAGCAGAGCCCTGGCAGCCAGGAGGGCCAAGCGTGTCCTGGAGGCATCAGGCACAGCATCACCAGCCAGGCAAGGGAGGGGATTGTCCTGTTCTGCTCTGAGCTGGGACAGACTCACCTCCAGTGCTGGGGGCAGTTTTGGGCACCACAATATAAAAAAGACATTAAACTATTAGAGAGTGTCCAAAGAAGAGCAACCAAGATGGTGAATGGCCTTGAGGAGAAGCCGTGTGAGGAGTGGTTGAGGTGACTTGGTTTGTTCAGCCTGGAGGAGACTGAGGAGAGACCTCACTGCAGTTACAACTTCCTCATGAGGGGAAGAGGAGGGGCAGGCACTGATCTCTTCTCTGTGGTGACAGTGACAGAACCTGAGGGCACGGCCTGAAGTTGTGTCAGGGCAAGTTTAGGTTCAATATTAGGAAAAGGCTTTTCCCCCACAGGGTGGTTGGGCACTGGAACAGGCTCCCCGGGGAAGCAGTCACAGCACCAGCCTGGCAGAGTTCTAGAAGTGCTTGGACAATGCTCTTGTGCAGATATGTGACTCTTAGGAATGGTGCTGTGCAGGGCTGGGAGTTGGTCTTGATCCTGGTGGGTTCCTTCCAACTGCAGCACATTCTGTGATTCAGTGCAAATATGTTGATCTCGAAATTGTTGTACTCCTTTAGACATCAGCTAAGATACAACATTTTGTGGTGTGAGAGGAGTGTCTTTATTGGGCACAATGTATGCTTCATGGCAAAATGGTCTGTGGTCTTTCATTTTGACATTTTGGAAAAAGTTTGCAATTATTAATTATGTAAGTACTGAAAATGCTGGGCTATTTTACTTAGCATGCAAATCCTGGTCTGTATTAGTGTATAAAAATGCATTCGTTTACTAATCTGTGAATAGGTGAGAGCTGCTTACATTTCTCCTGTACTTGGTTGGGTGTTCTGGCCTATGCAGTAAGGGAAGTGGGGACTGGTAGTACCTGGCATAGAGGTCAGATCCTGTATTCACTTGTGCGAGTCAAGCAGATTGTAGTTTGCTCTACATTTAAAACTACTAGTGATTATTTCTATTTTACTCCTTTTCAAAAATCTCTTCCAAAAGAGGAACTGAATGGGCATAGTATCTTCTAATGGTGATTTATTAAAATGGAAAAGGTTTCCTATCATTATCGTGAATTAATGGAATGATTTTGTTTTTTAAAAAATTCTAAATTGTAGTTAAGACATTTGATTGTTTTTTTTAAGGAGCAAAACAAAAATGAACAGTGCTGCCTAAAACCTACTTGAAAATTCTCTAACTAGGTTTCTGTTGAAAGGTACAGCAACTAAGCTTTGACAATACAAGGCAGTAAGCAAATGTATTTCATACTTAGTAAATCTGCCATAAAGTGAGTCTCTGGCACTGCCCTGATTGTGCTGGAGTTTTTAATAATGAATTGGAATGATGGTCCATTTGGAATATTTTCAAGTTTGGATGTTATGATCATCACACTCTTTAAAGAAGTTTATTTGCAGTTAACTTTTGGAGAAGAGGGAATGTTTTCCTTTCACTGGTATAAAATAAAACTAATGAAATACCTGTGACAGAATATAAGTGGCAATTTTTAAAATTAAAATACATACGTGATGTAAAATTGCCTGGGTTTAAAATGAACTGACTTAATCTTCTGCATGTTTTGTTTCTGACAGGGTTTGTGGATGCACTTAGATGTTTGCAATGAGCACTGTGGCTGGCATGCCCCAGTGTTTTGGATACCAATGCATAGGACTCCGTAGTAATCGAATTTATCAGAAACGAACGTCATGAGCATAGTGATCCCATTGGGGGTTGACACAGCAGATACTTCTTATTTGGAAATGGCTGCAGGCTCAGAGTAAGTATGTGAACATAATTTGTAAGTTTTCTTACTCATTTTTTAATTACTTTCAATTTACTCATGACTGTTTTTTGACTACAGTTGGAGAAAACATAAAAGTTTCCTTAGTTTTGTTGAATCTTTAATTACTTAAATTAATAACTGTCACTTTTTTCTTATATCAGTTTCTTCCACTTCAGGTGTAGCAGAGTAGAGAAGCTAAATGTTTCTACAGATGCATATTTGTCTTGTTTATCACACTGAGAAGTAAAGATGCTGCTTGGTTTACTTCTCATACTTGACATATTTTGCCATTTCAGTTTCCTTTTTAACTGCATGTAAAATTTTTTTTTTATTTTGCACATTAGAAAAATAATTTGGTGCATTAAACTGCAAGAAAGTAGTACTAATTAAGAGAATGGTGCATTTCTTAATGAAAATTGGAGGCCTGGCTTAAATGGCTAATACTGTGACTTCAGAAAGTTATTTCAAATTGTAAAGCTAGTAGAAAATCATTAATTTAATAACTGTATAAAGGGTTACAAAAAGCTGATGAAATGCATTCAGTAAACTCTGGCTTAGCACAAAATATTGTAGGATAGTGAGTTTCTGTGTTTTGGGGGGATGAGAAGGGTGGCTTGTGGGTTTTTTGTTAGGTTTGGGGGGTGGGGGGGGTGGTTCTGTATGTGTGGTTTTTGTGTTGTGGTTCTATTTTTTCCCCCTAGTCTCCTGTACAGCATTGATAGCCTAAGGTTTAGGTACTGTTCATCTCCGACTGGATAAGTTTCTTGCCAAACAAACCTTTCCATGTTTGTAGCATCAACATGACTGTCAAATGTTTAAGAAGCAAGTGGTTTTCGTTCCAAACTTTGAAGGAAAGTTTGAGCAGAGCTCTAGAATGGCTTTTTAAAGGGATGTTTCTCTGCTGTGCTTCCAGTTATATATAAGGCTGTTCTAGGTTTGTGCTCTTTATTTTAAGAGAACTAAGAATTTGCTATTCAAAAATTTTTGTTACATTAATTTTTTAAAGTTGTTCTATCTTTTCATGTCATGAACACTATTTACTTTGGTGCAGAAAATTTTTAACTTTAGTGAACCATTCACATTTCTTTTCATTATCTTTTTCTGTACTTCTCTTTCATGTTTAGAGAGGGTCATGATTCCTGAGGTTGCTGACATTCCTAGCAGACACAGCATGTCATGCTGAAATTAAAATAAATAAATTTAGTTGTCAGTATAAACAAGGTAGAGTTCACAGTGTGTTATTTGCTTGATACTGTGGCAGAGCGACCCAGTTAGGAGCTGCTTTTCTTCAGATGTTAAGTGGCTGTTGCCAGTTAGATTAATTCTTGTCATCTCTGCCGTACTCACGCTGAAATGTGTGTAGTTACATGATCGGTGTATGCTGATTCAAAAGCCATGTCACTGTCGCAAGAAGTGTGACATAAAGGTGTGTCCCTAACCTACCAGCTTACACGGTTGTAAAACTTTAATATCACCATCTCTGGTTTACTTTTTGTTCTAGTACATTTTCTTCCAGAAAGTAGCATGTTGGATATAGAGTGTGTTAATAACAGTCGTAGATGGTCTTTGAGCAAGTTCTGGGGTTTTCCCAAGAGGGAGGAGCTAGAATTTTTCCACTGTGACTGGCAGGTCTGATGTTGCCTCATCAGTTGCTGAAGCATGAGCAAACACAAGAATGGGGGAGTGGCAAACTTGATTATGCAGAGGAAGCTTAGGAAAAAGCTCTTTGTGGAGTGCAGTCTCTTAGTGCTGAAAGATTTTTCCTTATGCTTCAAACCAAGGCATAAGCCTATTAAAAAAGGGGATAGTTTCATATGACTAATAGTTGCACATATTATTTTAATAATTGTAGCAAAGAGCTCTGTGCAGAGTACTACTAAGAGGTTTAAGGATATTCAAAATTGGTTGAAATAGTTTGTTTCTTACGTTACATGTACATAAGTGGGGTTTCCAGATAGAGCTTTGTGTCATTGTAGTCAAAACACACATACTTCACCTTTATTGTAGATCTTTACTAAAGATGAGGATGTGTGACTTCATAGTGATAAGGTCCTTGTAGGAGTAAGCAGAACAAGCCACTTCTGAAGGTTCAAAATACTTCCTGGCTTCAGAGAGTGCTTGTGTAGCTTAGGGCATAAGTACAAGCTACACATTGGGAAATGCCATTGATGGTACTGCTTTTCTGGTTTTAATATCTATACATGTTTTTTAGAGAGAAGGCCTGTATTATAAATCTCACAATCACAGTGTACAGATCTCTGTATTGAACTCAGTATCCAGGAGAAAAAGAGCATTGGTGTAGTCTTAAATACAGATAATATCAGACCAGCCTGTACTTGTAGGGCCTGCTACAAGGTGCTTAGGTAGCAGAACCTACTCCCTGGTAGAGAAGCAGTCCGTGGTTCTTGTTGTCTAGGTATTGAGGCCTGTCAAATGTCTTTGGTTAGATGAAGTGTCTTGAAATAGAAAATGTTGTTTCTCATGCAAAATATATTGTATTCTTTTATCTGAGATGACCTTCAGCTAGATACTGTTCAGGTGTGCTGGTAGAAGCAGGAAACAAACCTGAACTGCTTGAAAATTAGACCTTATCAAACTGGATTGTGGAAGATTGATGTTGCTGAGGTTGCATTTGGAGTTCTGACACATTTTCAGGAAGTACTCTTAGCTAGGTTTTCACAGCCTAAAGCTTGGATACCCCATCTTTGAACATTTTGTCTTTGAACATTTTAGTTTTAGTGATATTTTGTTTCCCATTTGAATATCTACATACTTAATGGAGTGGTTGATGGCCCCAAATTCTAACTGATTGTATTTTGGATAGTAGTCAAAAATCATACGCTTTTTTTTCTTTCTTCTTTTTGTTTTTACTTTATTACTAAATGGTCAGAAATAAAACAATATTTTAAAGGAATTGAGTGGGGAAGATGACATTTTAGAGACTGACTTTGAATCGTTGCCGGTTGATTTCCTTAATGTAAGTTAAGTATAAATGTGTAGGGGCTCAGGTTTCTCAAATTGACTGGTCTCCTGTGCTGCTTTTAGTTTCTCGCTAATGCCATCTGCTGGCAGCATGCAGAATATTGTGTTTCCATTTTGGATACGAGCACTAGGAAATGACCCAGAACATGTAGCTGTTTCACTTGCTAAATGAAAATCCTCTCCAGGCTTTTTTTTTTTTTTTTTTAACATGGGCATCTTTGCTTTTTTAATTGATTTGAGAAAATACAATATTTCTGCTTTAGAGGGACAGGAGTGTCTTAAATCACTGCAGCCCAAGAGCATGTGGAAAGCTTTTGTCTAGAGTTTTTTGTTTTATTCCCTGTTAACATTTTGTACAGTTTTGAATTGCTGACCACAACACTTAACAAGTATATATGATATTTTAGCAAAAGTCCAAGGTCAATTTATCACAATAATGTTTATTTAGAAAATAATACTAGCATTTCGATCAAGCTTCGTGTATACTATAATGTAATACAAACATTGCAGTTTTGATCAAAACCAAAATACAATAAATAAGTTTCTTAGTTACACAGTAAGACTGCAGTTGTTTGAGGTGAGGTTGAAAAATGTGCTACGGTCATTAGGCTGACAAGCTTAGTACCTCAGTCTCTGATAGAACTGGCTAATGTCCAAAAATACAAGCAAGGAAGGCTTCACAGTGTTCTCACAGATCTGAATGCTTACACTTTTTCCTCCTGTGAATTTGCTTTCTGGGATGGCTGTAAGATTGCCAATGGTGAGATGAGGGGGTGTTTGTCTGTAATACAGAAGTTAGTGCCTTGCTGCTTGGGCCTGGTACTTGGCCCAAAAAATGTAAAACTTGATTTTTAAATTAGGTAGTATCTCATGCTTTAATCATCTGTACAATTAAATATTTTGCCAAGAGGCATTTCTTCTCAAAGGTGTGCGATTCTGAAATGCCTATTTCAGACGAAGGGGTTGGCCTTTGAACAGACAAGACTATAGAGGGTATTTTTTCTGTTTTAAGGTCATGCACATAGTTGGCCAAGCCAGGAGTAATAAGGAATTCAGTAACCTGTCTGTCAAAGTTGATACTGTCTGAGACTCTCTGGAAAAATGGTGCTCATTCTGTACTGCTTTATGGGGTCTGTATCACTCTTCCGTTGACTGTAAAGGAAACCTGTGATAATTAATTTCTAGCTTCAGTGAATGCTCTTGGAGCTCCTTCCCATGTCTCTTGGTTTTTTCCCCACTTCCCCAGCCCAGTGCAGTGGGTAAATGGAACAGTAAGTTACATTCAGAGCCCTAGTGAGCCTGTGTTGTAGTTGAAAGTAGTTTCTCTGCCTGGATAAGCATTTGAAAAAAAGTTATACTAAAAGCTGATTGTGCTCCTAATTTTTTAATAATAGTTGCCTTTTACCACCTGATTTTTCTCCCAGCCTTTTTCTGGTTTTCCTTGTTCAAGTAAAGACGTGCTGTTTTCTTAGTAACATTGTTCTCTGAGTCTCCTTTGTGAGTGTTAAAACAGTTGGTGATAAATGAATGTTTTTGGAAGCTTAATGCTTCTGCTTCCCACCACTGTTATGCCTCTGAATACTAAATTTTGTTCTCTTAAGTGATTTATAAATTGCTAGAGCAGTAAGAAATGGATGTATGGTGTTGAGTGTATTGTCTTGCCTCATATCTTGAAAGAAACTTGGACTATCTTTGTGATTTTTGTAGTCAGTTGATGAAATACACAGCGTCTCTTTTTGGGACACTTTGATTCTGTTCTCTTTCACTGAATGTTCCTGTGTTTAAGTAGCTGTTATTTAGGTCATAGTAATACTTATTTTTAATGAAGAAAACTCTCCTAAATTAATCCTGGATGGATTGTGCCAGAATCCCCTCCTGCCTGTCCTTTATTAGTAAGCCCTCCTGCTCTGAAAATGGAGTATTCTTCAGCAAGACCTAGGTTGAGCATTGAACACAGAATGGAGAGAAGTACCCGTGCTTGTCCTATTCAGGAAATGGGGAAGAATAGCAGTAGAAGCAATGCAGTGGTCAAGACCTGCTTGTTACTGGAGAAACTAATTTTTGCCCTAGTCATGATGGATGCATAGCTAATGCCTTTTTCGCTGGCATTTTAGTTGGCTGGGTTGTCAGAAGGGTTACTGGAGCACAGAAAAGATGTGTGATTACTGCACAAGTGTGTTGGTAAACAGGCAGAAGGAAATCAGTTGGAAAGGCACCGTTTTTTCATCTTTCGTCTTTATTTTAGCCATGAACTAAAGTTCTAAGCTGCTTCTAGAGGCTAATTCTAACGAACTCCAAATAAAATTAATTGTATTTCCAAGTTGTAAAGGGGTGTAAGAGAGTAAACGAGAGCTTTTTTGGGTTTACAAGGTAACAAAGAGCAAATGGTGTCAGATTTGGTTCGTCTCGTGCTAGGCAGAAGTTGAATTTTTAATGTTAGTACTTCTCATGATTTGTGTGCTCACATGTTTATTCACTGTCTCAAAAAAAAGCATCTGATGACTGTTGGAGACAGTAATCTTTTAAAAAAAGATTTTTTTCTTTAGGCCCTAGAAATTAAAGCCCTTCCCCCGGAAGTGCTTTGAACTAGTTTCTTAAACAGTTTTATCATAGTAGTAACCTCACATGGGAAAAAGCTCATAAGAAGAAATGGGCCACCACCAAACCCATTAGTAGGACACTTTCGAAGAGATGTGAAAATACTGCATTTTGTTCAGAAATAGAATGATACATGAAATCTTTTCCAAAAAACAACAGATGTACCAAACTAGTATTGCTTCATGGCATAGCAAAAAAGCCTCTGTTAAGTATTCTAAGGTATAAGAAAAAATCCTATCAGTATCTATTTTAATTTAAGATTCAGAAGTACCAAATTTATTTTAAAAATCGGCTCGAGGAATTAGTAAGATATGTGATAGAAAATAAAATTCAAAAATAATAGAAATAAAATTGGAAAACGTAACTAGACCTGATTTGTAATGTGAATCATCAAGTCTACGTTAGTTTTAAATGTTACTATTTTCTGGTGCCTTTTTGTTTTTTTTAAAAAAAAACTCTTTAGGTAACCTGGATTCATTTGTCTTAGTGTGATTAAATCATATGGTGCAGCGAAAAACCTGCAAGTTATCTCAGTCATGCACACATGAACAACTACTCAAGAAAGGCTGTGAAGATGTAATTTTTTTGTGCTCAAATAGATGTTCCTGTTCTAGTATTCCTCTAACTTTCTTGTTTTGTACTGTGGTTTAGTGCATATGAACCATAGTTTGTATATTAAAGAAGGCATTGCGTTTGATACAAAACATTGCCTTGCAAATTATCACCTTTTTCTTTCTGTTTAATGATAAATCAGTAGAAACTGTTTAGATAATTTGCCCTAGTTAGGATTTCTGCCTGTATCACAGTCGGTGCCGCTGTGTGTCGCTGCAGGGCTCTATGGTCGTGCAGCCCTCGGAATGCAGCGTCAGTCCTTGGGCAGAATTCCTTCTGGCAGCTTCTGTTACTTCTCAATGAGGGGGCTGCTGGGGGGGTTGCAAGTTTGTTCCTGCCCCCGTATGCTCCTTTAAACACAATCAGCAGGGAGTTAATTAGAAGTTGTGCAGCAAGTACCTCCAATTTATTAATATAAATTACACAGTAATTGCATTTATTCTTCATCTGTCTTTTGCCTTGCAGACCAGAATCTGTAGAAGCTAGCCCTGTGGTAGTTGAAAAATCGAACAGTTACCCACACCAGTTGTATAGCAGCGGCTCGCATTCACACAGTTACATTGGTTTGCCCTATGCCGTAAGTTTTGTGGAAAGTATTCTGTACAAAATATATTATGTAAAAATCTGCTGGTTTTATCTGGAAAAAAACTGATTCATGCTTGTATTTCTATATCTTATTGGGAGTTGGGTAAGTCGGCTAAAAATGGTCTATTAGAAGCAGAGCATAGTGTTCTTAAATCTACGACATAGTTGAGAAGTTAGAAAATAAGATGGAATTGGGATGTAACTGAAATTTTAACCTTTTACTACAAAAATAAGCCTGAAGTTCTTTGCAAAATAAATTATTACATTTTGGCTTGAATAACCATTGGTGTATGAGCTTTTACAATAAATTACCTTATAACAAAATTCTAGGACCATAACTATGGTGCTCGGCCTCCTCCAACGCCTCCAGCTTCTCCTCCTCCATCCGTGCTTATAAGCAAGAATGAAGTAGGCATATTTACCACTCCCAACTTTGATGAAACCTCCAGTGCTACTACCATCAGTACATCCGAGGATGGAAGCTATGGAACGGATATTACCAGATGCATTTGTGGCTTTACACATGATGATGGATATATGATCTGTTGTGACAAATGCAGGTAATGCCTATTAAAATAACTCAAAAAGTAAAAATTCCTTAAAAGTTAATGCTGCACGGAAAGCAAATGTAACTAAATGTATTTTAATTACGTTGAGACAACACAAGAAATTTCCTTCCATCAGAAAAGTGCTTGAAGGTTGTGTGGTTTTCTAATAGGCAAATAGTCAGTTAAGGCCAGTTAGTATTTTATAATTTAAGTCCCATCAGTCTTTACTACTCATTAATTTGATCATGCCTTTGCTTGTGCATTGCTGCTTAATAAGGGTATACCTTTTTTCCCCTCTAAAAAGGGTGTCTCTGGTACTATGTCCCAAGATATTTGTTAGTATCGTGAAGACCTAGGCATTACTTAATCTGCATGTACTGAGTAATAAAGCATCTTGGTGAATTAAGTGTATGTGAATCAAGGAACTTGAAGGATGCAAAATAATGTGAAAGAAACTTCTCAAATACTGATTTCTCTGTGCTTGGTCTTTCTGATTACTTATTTTTCAAAGGACTCAGTTAATAAGTGTGACAAGACTAATCTAGATTCTTACTGGAGAAGCTAAAGTTAAATGTTTAGACTTCTGAGTTTATGCTTAAGCACCTACTTAATCATAGTATAATAAGAGACTACTGTTAAATATTTGAAATTGGAAAAATAAGATTAGAAATTTTTAGAGCTGATAGATTTAACAGGAGAAGACAGATCTTGTATTTCTACTCAATATTAGCTTGTATTTTTACATTCAGTTAATGAATGCTGCTGTATTTGTTAGATCTTTGTGTATTTATAAAATGATAGTTATGGCTAATTAAAATATTAATTTGAGCTCCATTCTTCTGTCTGCTTATGTAGCAAGCTTGTTAGTAATTTCTGATGGTCCTTGATTCTGATAATCTTAATACATTTCAAAATAATGAGCAAGATGTTCTTCCAACAGTAGAGTTGTAGGCAGTCACCAGTTAGGTAGAGTCTTTTTCCTTTGAAGAAGAGATTCTCTGTGAGTTGTGACTTTATCACAACTCTTTCCAAGTGGGAAGATAACTATTTTTGTGTCCCTCATCGTTCTAGCAGTGTAGGGATGAGTGTAAACTACTCTTTTAGGTTAGTCTTCAGTCTTGCAAGCAGTCTCTTCCCTGACTCTGGGAAGCAGTAAAAGCTCTTTTTATGCTGTACAACAGTACTACCAGTTTATAACAGGGTGTATAAAAATGTGTATTTATTTTTCTCTTAAAATGTAGGAGGAAATAAAACTGTATCTTAGTGTATATCTCTCTATATAAAAATATTTTATGTAACAGTTTCTAAAAGGGAATTGAATCCTTTTGTTTAAAACCAAACGACTTGTTGCTATGTAAAACATAAGTCTTGCTACTGAGGGTATTTGTCTCTATCTTATTCTCTATTGTGATAATTTAACATTTTATTTCTGATGTTAAAGAAAGATTTCCGAGAAAGGAGTCAGCTAGCAGAGTGGTGGGAAAGACACCGATTGAGATGTAGTTTTAGGCAGTAATGAATCTGAGTAAAGATGACAATGAAAAAAAAAGAACAGCTTACTTTCTCTGTGTATTGTGCACACAATTTTTAAAATTGTACTTTAAAGCTGGGGTTTTGTTTTGGTGTTTTTGTAGTGTCTGGCAGCACATTGACTGCATGGGGATTGACAGACAGCATATTCCTGACATTTATCTGTGTGAACGTTGCCAACCCAGGTAAGTAGTTTTGTGGATTTTGAATTCTAAAACAGAATGGAACAGTGAACAACTGATATTTTTTCTAAGTATCTGAACATTCAGTTAATTTACTGTTTATTCTAGAATAGTCAATGGGAAATGCTAGAGGTCTGTTTTAATACTTAAATGCACTGATTTATTTTCTAATTTCAGGAGTTTAGATAAAGAAAGAGCAGTGCTGTTGCAGCGAAGGAAAAGGGAAAATATGTCAGGTGAGTAAAATTTAAAGCTCTTTCCTAAGTAAAGGTCATAAAATAAGTATAAACTACATATACAGACTTAAGAGTCCATAGATGGTTCCTGCAGTTCTGAGAGCCTTCAGCATAAGGTTCAATAAATCAGTGTCTTTTACTTGACTGTGTTGTTACCGAGATAACATCATATCAGAATTGCTGTAGTTCCACGTGTTTTATTAATGGTTTTCAGCACTATGGTTTTTTATAGCAGTGTGGAGTAATTCAATCTGTTGAACAATGCTCAAGTTTCTTAATAAGCAGTGTTGCTTTTATAATAACTATAACTCCTTTGATTAAGGTGCTGAAAATAAGGTGGAAAAGCTTTAAGTTTCTTCTTTTGGAATGAGAGAGGGTTTCTAAGTCTACTTTCATTCTGGAAAGAAGTTTCAGGAAGAAATCCTATTTCTTATATGTTTTATGTAGATCGGGTGTTTTGGCATGACTCTGGGTTTGTTTGGACAGTGGGCAAAGTTGCTAAACCGAGTTAACAGGATGTCGGTAAAAACGATGCTTTGAGGGTTTTTTCCCTTTTATAACAAAGGTGCCATGTGGTGCAAGTACCTGTTTCATTCTTACGTATTTTATGCAAGTAGTTCTTGTACCTGTTCACAGGATTTCAGAAATCATGTGGCCTAACTTGTGAGGAGTTCGGTCTGGCCAGTACCAGTGTGTTGTAGAATTCTTGGTTGACAGCTGGTACTTCCAAGATCTATTACAAAAATAGTAACTTGGGAGGAGGTCATCCTGCTAAATGTAACATGTTTTACTTCCAGATCATGTCTCTGAAATAGTGGAGTGTGTATGTGTATTTAAAGATTTCTTTTAAAAATACCGTGTAGATACATGGTCCTGCTGCCCACTTCATATGGCTTTAGAAAGTCTGGAGAGTGTGTGGCACAACTGTGCTTCTTGGTGCCGTTGACACTTGGTGTTGTCTGGTACTAAGTTACCTAAAGTCCTTTAAAGGCATTAATGACCTACTTACAAAACCACAATCATTTTTTGTTTTGTCTGTTTTCCTTTTAACAAAACCAAGCTTATTTTATACAGTTTTGGTTGGCCTACTAGGTCAACCAGATTTAAATTCTAAAATTTTTTAGAATTTAAAATTATTTTGCTGATTCTACTAAAATAGTAGAACAAGTAGATTTCTAACTCATTTGGAGTTAATGATTTCGCTGAGTGGTCTGATAATACTGTGAGGTTGAACTTGAATTTTCATAATGAATAGGGGAAGTTGATGATCTGAGCTATTTAAATAATCTATTGGGATTTGTAGGCATACTGTCTGATCGTTTACTCTAAACTTAAGGGAAGAGAGATTAAAAATCTTAGGAGGAGCTGTTGAGATCTCACCTTTGAAGTTAGTGTTTAACCCTCCTCAGTCTTGATGATCACTATTCTAAATCTTGTTTATAAGCTTTCACTAGGAAAGGAAATAGTAAGTGGTAAAGAAAAAGTATCAAAACAGTTTAAAAGAAAGGCAAATTCTGGTTCTCTTTAATCTAAAATATGGTCAAAGTGCAGTATTGATTATTGTGATTTATAATACATGACTTGAATGTCTGTGCTTATACTTCTTAATTTCCATTGAGCTTAGGTGAATGCTCTCTACCTTGACTGCTATACAGTTCAGTTGAACTTAGTTATTTTGGGTGTTAACTGCGAGACGTTAGTAAAATGGGCAATTTTCACAGATGATTTCAAGTAGGAAAAGATAAAGTGGCATCAATTTGAATGGACCTTTACAATGTTTTAGTTATTCAGCAGAAGCAGAATGTTTTTTTTTAATGTAACTATTAGTAATTTGCAGGTGTTTGATAAAAGGTAAGTGCATAATTCGGATGCTCTCTGATGAATAAGTCTATATATATAGGGCTTTTCACCTAGATATGAGAATTCTCTAGCATATAATGTTTTTGTTGTAACGATTTCTAGAGAGTTGCTGGCTTAACTGTGTTTCATCCAAAGGTATAAACAGTGGGGAGAAAGTAGTAGATTAGTTGGTTTGCTTCAAGGAAAGAGCTTGTTATTGAACATTGCATGTGATCGAAAATTCTGTGTGTTAAGCTTTTGTGTGTAACCACATCACCTTTTTTTTCTGGCAGCATTTTTAGCATATTGTTCTGGGGCCTGTGGTTGTATGAGATGTTGTTGGGGTTTTTTTTCTGGTATAAAAGTCCAGTTCTGGTGCAGCTTACAGTGCAGTGGATTATCTGGTATTGTTCCATGAAGTGAGCACCTTTGTTAAGCCCGTACTCAGTTGTATACTGATGTTTTGGGTTTGGTTGGTGGGTTCATTTTGGTTTTTTAGGTTTTTTTTGAGTTTTGTTTTCAGATACTTTATCTAGATATACAGCTTAGACAAGGATGTTTCCTTAAGCTGATTGGTCTTGAAATTGATGCTGTTGAGATCACTTGCTGGTTATGGGTAAATGAATCTGGGCCCATAACTTGTGAAATTTGGAGAGTTTGTATCTTGATTCTGACGTACCAACTCAAGATCTCCCCTTAGTGTGCTTTACCAAGGCTCTTCAAAGTGAAAGCAGGTTATGTAGGTTAGGAAGGAGTGTCTCAAAACAACTCTGTGTAATTATATGTTCAGTTGAGGTAATTATTCTTTACAGTAAGTTAGAACACAGTGTAGACAACAATACTGAAATGTTGCTTCCCTAAGGAAGACAGCATTTTGTGGGGTTTGGGGCAAGGGGGAGAGGTGTGTGGCTGTGATGTCATGATTCTGTAGGCACTAGTGTATGGACTACAGACACTGACAATTTTTAAGTTTCTGTTCTGGGGTTTCTATTTCTCAGGCATTGGTTCTTCTTCTGTTTATTCTTTGATTAGACATTTCTTCTTTCCATGTGCTTTTTATGCTCGTTTAGAAGATACTCTCAGCAAAGATGTAAACAAATTCAGGAAACATCATCATTTCCTAATTTATGAAGTGTTTATAATTATGTGCCTGATAAGGTGTTCGAAAGAATAACCAAGATGGTAAAAGAGGATTGTTTGCTATGCATAGAAGAATCCTGTTAAGGAATGTTGTGAGCAGGAAAAGTCCAGAGTAACCAGTAGCTGGAGTTCTTTATTTAGTAAAGAAGGTTTTGAGAATTAGGACTGCTGAGTGCACTGATTAAAGCAATTCCTTCTGAGATCAGAAGGAATGTTTTCTCTGCTCTCATACTAAGTATTTTTAAAGCCTGCTTCTGTGCTGTATGAGAAAGTTTTGCGTAGTGGGAAGTGTATTTACAGACTATTTGGAAAAGCTGCTAAAATCTGAGAAGCCAGTATTGAGCACATGCAAAGAGCAGTCTCGTATCTGTGTGCATCATCTCTCTTCGAATCCTCCCCATCCTTCACAGCCTTTCATCTTGACAGAACTAGGGTAATCCTGTTTCAGGTCAGGATATGTGTTTGTCTGACATACATGCTGATGTATGCTAAATTTCAGGCTTGGCCTTTAGGTCTGTGAGAGCATAGCACAAAGAGAAAGTATCTGTCAGTTTGTGTCTGATCGTCTCTTCTCTTCATGAGCAGCAGAATGTTACTGTTAGGGATTTTGAGTACAAAAGGCTTTTGGCTAAATTGACCCTGATATTAACCCTGAAAAAGGCACTTGACAGTGCAAATTGCAGCTGAAATAGTTGATTATGACTTACACGTGATTAATTAATGCAGCTTCACAAGAAATGCTGCTCAGTCATTAGTTTTAATCCCTTCTAGAATACAGTCATCTGAGAGAATCCAAATGCCGTATTGCAAGTAAAAGCTGTATATAAGTAAATGAGTTAACCGTTTGGTTTTTTTTTTAACCTTTTTTGTTCTGATTCTAATTTTGCTTGAAATGGAATATGGTTATCAGTTCCATTCAGAGAATGGAATTTAATCTGGTACCTTTTTCTTAGCTTGCATTACAAACCTCTCTTAATTACCAGTTTCTCATTGGTCCTTCATATTCATGCTGTTGCAACTGTTGGTGAATTTTGCATATGAGTGCTTGTAGCATTTGTCAGTATAAATTTTTGTGTTTCGAACGCAGATGTAGAGTAACTAGTGAATGTTCTTTCTGTAGTACTTGATTATTTACAGAATATTCTTTGTTTTAAAGATGGGGACACCAGTGCAACGGAGAGTGGTGATGAGGTTCCTGTGGAACTATATACTGCTTATCAGCATACACCAACAACAATTACTTTAACTGCTACAAGAGTTACAAAAGTCAATGATAAGAAGAGGAAAAAAAGTGGAGAGAAAGAACAGAACATAGGAAAATGTAAAAAAGTAAGTGAATGTAATTTCTTTTATTACTTTGTGTTACAGATTATAGCTATGTGATGTTTCTTAGCAAGAGACACTGATTTAAAACTCATGCTGTTTTACTACCTGGTTTGAGCTTGAAATGTATTACTCTGTAGTAAATGATAGTCTTCCCAGGTGCCTGACCCCCATGACTCCTCCTTATTTCAAGTTAATATATCCTGCCTGGTCAAGGTCAGTTTTGTAATTGAGGCAGAATCTCACCACAGGAATTGTGTTTACTGGGCCGTTTCAAATAGTTAGAGAGGGTGCAGATCAAGCTTTGGGATACCCAAAGAATTATTTCAAAGTCTTCTTTTCTGGTAGTTTTAAGTACAGAACTGTTTTTCCCGATGTGACTCCATTTATTTGAGCAGAAATTGTGTGGAAGTGTGCTGTCAGAAAGCCGCTAAACTAATTAGAGTAAAGAAAAAAAACCTGACGTTATACTGTTTAGCTACAGATGTATAAACAGTATAATATATGTGAAGACAAAACGTTTGTGAAGAAACGAAGTACATGGAACTTTCTAAGCAAGTGATTTTCGTAGTTAATTTCATTTGCTTGGATGAGAATTTTGTCCTTTAAAACTTTAAAGAATAAGTTATTGATGTCTTTTTGGAAATCTTTAGTAAAATGTTTCCTTTTGATTGAACAATTCTCCATACGAATCTGTTGCCGGATGTTCTTCTGTTACCTCTGATATTTTGGCTTGGATTCTGAAATTCTGGAGAATCAAGTTGTAGTGTGAGAGACAGGCCTGTGCATTTAGGTTGGAATGCTGAATTGTTTTTTAAAATACATTTTGTGAGATGTAACCTCTTAACCTTCTTGAGATTTCAGCGTAGTTTGTTCTGTTGTTTTCATCTTGCATGTTTAATTGAAAAGTTGTTAATTCGTTAATAGGTTTTCAAATTCTTAAGAGATTTTGTATTTCCTCCAGTGAATATGAATATCTAATTTTATTCCAGGCATTTCGAGAAGGATCCAGGAAGTCTTCAAGAGTGAAGGTAATGTGATTTTGTTTGGGTTTTGTTTCAGACCTTAACTGTATGTTACTTAAATAATAAGCATCAATGGTATAATTGGGGCTATACACTAAGCACTGCAGTATTCTCTTCTGGTAGCTAATATATTACATATGCATCACAGTGCTTTTAAATCAAGGTATGAGCACTACATCTTTGTCCTGCAAAATTAACTGAAATAATTAGTGCAAATTTTTATTTCAAGAGCCAGTGGATTAATTGGGGCTCTTGTGATATGCAAGGGAGTAAAATTGAGTGAACACCTCATTTGAACTTAGTGGCTCCAGCTTTTCATAACTGTTAAGCAGCGAAATAATGAAATGGCTTTATTGAATTTGAAGGCTAAGTTAGTGGTTCTGCTCTGTCAAACCTCCATCTACACCTGGTGGGACTCCTGTATATCTGGCAGGATTTTACTCACTGATACTGGCATAGTCTGAGGGAATGATATTGGCATGTCTGCTTTGTAAGATTTAAGTGTTGCAGCAGTATTTAAATTCTCTGTGGCATAAAAATGTGCTTGGTGTGAGAATTAGGTATTTCCATAGTTCATTCATGCTTGGTGTATATATAAAAACAAGTGGGATGCAATTTACACTTCAGATGTGTAAGATGTGCCTTGCAAACAGTGAAGATGGAATTGGGGGAGAAAAATCTCTTAATTTTGTTGGGGTTTTTTAATATGGTGCTTGTAAGGTTCCGCTGTTTTTTTCATGGTTGTCTTAGCATCACACCTTTGAAATGCTTTTTCTGTGTATGGTTTTCTTCGTGCACAAAAGAAATGTAAACAGGTAATTTGAATTGCTGAACTACTTGTGTTTTATCAATGTTTAATAGTGTCTCTGCTCAGGTGGATAGAAAAGGGAGCGTTGGCTGGCTGCTGCTGTCCGTAAGGAGCTTTGGTTGGCTGCAGCCTGGCTGCTGCTTGTGAGGTCTGGAGGTACAATGGCACTTTCTTTAAAAGTGAAAGGATCTGAAGCACTGCAGAGGAGAACTGTATAGTGAGGAGCAGATAAGGAGAGAAAAATTTTACGTGCAAAGCCTGTAGCATTAGAATCACAACCTTAATGTAGCAGGACTACAATTAGTGAAGTTTAGTAAGTTATGCAGTGGAAGAAAAGATACAGCATGATCTTTGAAGTTGAAAGGGGAAAATCAAGTCTGTGTATTACAGGATAAAAGCTGGAGTTCTCTATATTTGCATATGTTCACTAAAGTTGAGTGGGCAAGGAGATCTGACCCCTCCAGCTCCTGCACTTAGATTCGTGATGCAGTACAGCTGTGGGAGGAAACAGTGTCACTCTCCATTCTCATCCCACTAAGAGCAGGAATCACTGTTGAGGAGGGAATGTATTCCTGAACTTGACTTACTAAATAATAAAATTCATGGAAGGACAAATGTATTGGGACTGAATTTGACTCAATATTTTTAAGTAATTCAAAGTTGTATACCAGACTTGCTAAAAAAACCCAAACCGTAAATCAGTGGCATACCTTTGCCCATTATTTTGTATCTTATTGTAGAATTTTTCTTTTTATTTTAATATCTTATCTCCTAATATCTGGTCACTTAATTCCATTTTTAGGGCTCGGCTCCAGAGATTGATCCTACTGACAGTTCAAACTTCGGATGGGAAACTAAAATCAAGGCATGGATGGATCGTTATGAGGAAGCAAATAATAATCAATACAGTGAAGGTGTCCAGAGGGAGGCACAAAAAATAGCTCTCAGATTAGGCAATGGAAATGACAAAAAAGAAGTCAGCACCAGCAATCTGATTTTCAAACCTCCGGTAGAGGTAATGAGCTGTGCCTTGTTGTGTTACTGCATGCTGTGTTTGTGCCGTGACATTAGATGCCTTAAAAAAACGCCAACCAACCAAAAAACCCCAAACAAACAAAAAACCAAACCAAACAAAAAAAAAAAAAAAAAAACCAAAAACAAAACAAAAAAACCCACCCCAAAAAAACAACCAAGCAAACAAAAATAAACACAGGGAAAAGAAAAAACACAAAAAAGAGACTTCACATTCACTTTCTTTTCCTTGTCTCACCAGATCTGAGCATAAGAATTTTAACATACCTTTCAGAATTTGTAACTGATTTTTAAACATTCTGTACCACCCTGGTTATGTTTACATTTGCATATAATTTATCCTAAAAAGTAGCTAAGGTGTTAGTCTCAGCCTGAGCATTGGGTTGTCCTTAGACTGTCTCTTGACACAGAGTCAGCTTTAGTCAACTTTGCTGCTGCTTCTCTGTGAGGGATACTTGGAGTGGTTAGAGTAAAAGAATCATTGAAACTGAGTTTATTTTTCCCCCCTACTGTGTGTATCAAGACGTTAATTGTCTACATTTTTAAGGTGTGGTAAGTGTTCTGGATGTTCATGGGTGGTGTTCCTGATAAAAATTTTTTTTTAAACTCGTGATCCTGTCATTTCTAGTTGATGAAATCGTGCAGTGCCCTTTCCTAGCCTTACTTACCAATAACTTATCAGTTACTTACAGCCTTAAAATCAGTGCCAAAAGACTTAGCATTTTGTAGCAGAAATCTTGAGGAGTAGTTACTGTAGCAGATTAATGGAAGCATCTTTGCTTCTTTTTCTCAAAGACCATCATGGCATATGGGACACCCTCCTTAGAGGAATATCCCTACTTACAGAGCCTTTTGCCTACATAGAGGCTACTTCCTTTTTGGTTGGTGATGACAGTTATGAGAGGTGTGAGTTCACTAATTGCCAGGGTATGTATTGGTTTTTAATTAAAGCCATCCTTCCATCTAAATATATGAAAATGAATTTGGAAACTCTCTGAGGATTCTTTTTTTTTTTCCAATTATTATGTTATTTCCCTGTTCTGTTTTTCCTTGAATGAATTGTGAATGTCATTTTATGTCTGCATGTTTTGTTTTGTTCAAAGGAATTGAAGCCTTTTGAAAGTGTTGTGCAAAACAATGCAGCAATGCATCCTAGTCATGGTGAGAGCTAAGTGCACTAAAGGCTGTAGTACTTGAATTGTGAGAACATGACTATGTTGGTTTTCAGCCATGTCCTGGAGCACTAGGGCCAAAGCATTCCTTATATCTAAATTGATAACTAGTAGCATTGCTAGGGGAGCAGGACAGCTTGGTCAGCTCCGTCTGGAGGTTTAATTACAAAAAGGAGGGGCTTTTTAAGTTCATATAAAATTGTTTAATAGTTGCGGAAGTATAATCTGCTATTAATAATAATGGAAAAAATGTAGAAAGGGAAAATTCATAAATTAATCTATGTCTTTACAGAGTTATGTGCAAAAAAACAAGAAAATTTTAAAGGCTGCCAAAGACTTGCCTCCCGATGCACTTATTATTGAATACAGAGGAAAGTTCATGCTGAGAGAACAATTTGAAGCTAATGGATATTTCTTCAAAAGGTTTGTTCATTCCTGATGTTTCAGTAAAGTAATTGTTAAAATGATGTTTGCCAAGCTGTTGCTTCAAGTACAAGTGGATCTTAGTTGCTGTCCCCTTCTCTTCTGGATATCCTTACAGATTTGTTTAGGAGCTAGTTTTCTCTTTTTTGTTCCTCCCTGATTACACGATTCTTGCATGCTTGGTTGCGTTGTTGTGTACCTTAAGCCAGAAAATAGAAAGAGTCTGCCGTCCTAAAATAATTCATATATTAATGGTAAAGGCTTTATCTTTTGGTAGAGAAATGGATTTTAAGTCCATGAGAGTGAGAATGAAACTGGACACAGGTTAGCTTGGGGCTGTTTTACTGCCATAGTTCTCTAGTTAGTGTACTGAGCTGTGTGTGACTGCTTCCTTCTTCCTGTGGGTTGGTTTTGATGCTGCCACTAACTGCATGAACACACCTGCATGGGAATTTGCAGAAGGCCTTTTGGAGGAGATGGAACACACAGCTTTTGCTTGGTAACGATAGAAGGGTTCCCTGGCACTTGGAATAGCAGAACTTAAAGCATGACTTGGCAAAGTATTTGGAGTCCTCTTCCCTTCAGGAAGGTTGGTGCTAGTGGTGCTGCAGGTATTAGGCAGGGATGTGATGGTTTTACTTTTTTAAAGAAATTATTCTATGTGACATACAAATTTCTGAGTTTCATTCTGGGGCTGTCATACGAAAAGTTTAAGACATTTGAAAAACATTAACTCTGTGTCTTCCATGTCTAGTGCTTGCTCTGTAAGTGTTCTCCCTTTAGATCCTGTGCAGATGATACGGAGCTGTAACTCGATCTTGAGGTATTTTGAGTATATTTGAGGAATGCACCTGTTAAAATCATGAAGTTTAAATATAAACATGTCATTTTTAGATTAGCCTCCAAATTTGGTGTATTGTGCCAAGCATCGTGTTACAAAGCTAACTAATAAGAAGAATAAACACTATTTAGCATCTTCAAAAATTATGAAATTCCTGGCTTTCTTGTGTGTTTTTCAGACCATACCCATTTGTTTTGTTTTACTCCAAATTCCATGGGCTAGAAATGTGTGTTGATGCAAGGACTTTTGGAAATGAAGCTCGATTTATCAGACGCTCGTGTACACCAAATGCAGAGGTGAGCACATTTAGAAAGTTAAACTAGGTTTTATTTACTTAGGAATCTCCTTTTCCTTGAGATTCTTGATAATTTGAGCAACGGCTACAATTTTTATACAAGAACTGGAAAATAACCAGTGATAATACAACATTCTCTTGACTGTAGGTGAGGCATGTAATCGAAGATGGAACAATTCATCTTTATATTTACTCCATCCATAACATTCCAAAGGGAGCAGAGATTACCATAGCATTTGACTTTGATTATGGAAATTGGTAAGTATTTGAGAATGCTGTTCTAAAACTCATCTAATGCTCATTAAGTTACTTTGCTATTCAGAATGACTTTGGTTTTGTATCATTTACTTTCTTGCATGTCTTAATAGCACAAGGTTCCTGAGGCATTGTATTTACAATGAACAGTGTGTGCGTGGGCAGGGTTGTGTATTTTTATTACTGCATTTCTGTGGCCTGCTCTTAAGCCAGCTTGGATGCAATGCAGGCATGCCTTTGCTTCTTGACCTGAACTATGCACGTGTGGTAATCAGCATAGGTTCAGACAGACTGTCACTGTTAGGAGTAGACATACTCCTTCTAAAAATACATAGTAGTTGTGTTTAGTACCTGAAACAGCTGATAGCCCCTTTCAGTTCAGTGTGTTTGAAAAACATTTCCTGTGTATCCAAGCAGAGCTTAAAATCGTGAGAGTGACTCTGTGTGCTGTAAATTTTGTAAAATGAACTCTCTACTTCCATTCATCTGTTTTGTTTCGGTTGGTTATATTTCCACCTAGGATTATACTCAGGTTTTAGATGTCTTTTGTCTTTCAAGCATAATACTAACCTTGAATTTAAAAGAATTCTGTGTGGCAAAGCTAAAGAAGCTAAAACTTCAATTAACCAGTACAAAAGTTTTTTGAATTACAGTAGTGGTGTATATTGTGGTGAAAACTGTAGTCACCTGCATTTAACATGGTTGGTTTGCATTATAGCAGATGTTTAATGTGAAATACCAGTGATTTAATATTGAAGGGTCTCATTGCTGTACAAGTTAATCAAATACGCCTTCTTGCGTTTAATTACTTGCAGTAAATACAAAGTGGATTGTGCTTGCCTCAAAGAAAATCCTGAGTGTCCAGTTCTGAGACGTTCTGAGCCTACAGAAAACATCAATACTGGATATGAAACTAGAAGGAAAAAGGGAAAGAAAGAGAAAGATGTTTCAAGAGAAAAAGAGACTCAAAATCAGAACATCACATTGGATTGTGAAGGAGCAGCCACCAAAATGAAAATTGCAGATAATAAACAGAGGAAGCTCTCTCCCCTCAGGCTGTCCATTTCCAATAATCAGGTACTGACACAAAGAGTCTCAGAAATAAAAACTTTTAAATACAGATACAACCTCCTAGTATAGCTACTAAAGTCACTGAAAAGCAATGTGGAGATTTCTCAAAAGAAAGAATGAGGGATAAGCTGTTTAGAATTTTATATATTCTTTCAGTTTTCCTTAATACTCGGTTATAATTAAAGGTATGTTGGACTTTTTTCCTCTGAATGTCTTTGTGACTCTGATGTGAAGGCCACATATCATGGTTTCAGGAGCTCCCACTCCATCCTGAGGTGCTTTTAGTTAGTTTACTGGTGTTACTCAGAAGTATTTTTAACATAGCAGTACATAGCCCTGCTCTTGAAACAGAACTCCAACCCAGAATACTGAGTGTTGACTGCAGCTCCATGTTTAATTCAGTTGGGAGGAGGAAAGGTTTTTCTGAAACTAAATGTACAGGCAGTATGGTAAAGCTACCTGGTAATGTACTGTGATAGTAAATTTTAAATAAGTCTTTTTTTGAATATGTCAGTTTGAAGGAACTATTGGGAGGAGTCCATGACATAAGTTATTAATTTTTCAGAGCAGCTATTAAAGATAACTATTTAATGTGATCAGCTTGTTACCTTAGTAACTGTCTATATTCCTTCATTTTGAGGGTGCTTTTTTTAATATGATGGTTTTTGATGATGATTTGGGGGCAGAGAAAAGGGAGTTATTCCGGGAGGGAGCAATTCCTAGTTTTCTTAACATCGTTTTAGGACTGAAGCAAATAAAGTAAAAAGCATACTGCCATACATGAGCATACTGACACCCAGGTTTCCTAAGGTGATAAATTGTTCTGGTGTGTTAGTAGCTAACTAAATAGCTTAAAGTGCCTGGAAGTCCAGAAGGCATGTATGTGACTTGCAAATTATGGTTTCCAGAGAGGTGGTATTTAAACTTTCTCATCTTAAATGATTTTTGATTTGTGTTTTGTGTCATGTTTTCAAGAAGTGATAGCTGATATATGGAGTCTTCTCCTGATCTTTTAATGTAATGTACAGTGTTTATGTATAACAGTCACAGAGAGCTTGTATTGTTTTTCAAAACTGAAGAGTAGGAATTGTGGGAAGAATAAAGCTGTTAAAAGTACATTTGCCCTTTCCCATACACTTTCTTTATGGTAGCATCCTAGATGTTATCCCAGGAAAAAAGCTGCTAGTTGCCTGTTTTCTATGTTTAGATAAAGATTTTAAGACGAAGCTTTAAATCTTTGTCCTAGTCCTTTATGTAAAAGTGAAATTCCATATAGGACTAATGAAAACTTAATTAGTTTCAAAGTTATGCTTTCATGCTTGTTTTTTCATTCAAAACAGAAAACCATCGTTAGTTAAGTAACTTTGTGTTTACATATGATATGGCATTGCTGTTAGATTATATAGTGAGTGTTTAAATGGAAATTGTGACTTCAATTGAATACTCTTTTGAGCTGAGAAAAACTTCTGTGTGAATGGTAACATCTACTTGGGCATTCATTCTCTTTCACTAAAACTAATACTGGTTTTTGTGGGTATATAATATAAAACTCCTATCTATTTAACTGATAATAAAGTGATTAGAGCAGTGGCCATTGTTAGTGTCCAAAAGTTTACTTTGGCTGGAGGGTTTAATTCTGATACTGCTTTTTGTTTGGTGGGATGAGGGAGTGGGGATGGAACACTTTCATCCTGTTTTGTTGGTTTAGTTAGTTTTGATGTAGTTATCTGAGGATTCTTAGTTCTGTGTAGCTTTTAGTTCACTCTAGTTTGCAAGAGGAGTAGAATTTCTGTAAAACAGTCATTTCCATCTTACAGGAACCAGATTTTATTGATGATATAGAAGAAAAAACTCCCATTAGCAATGAAGTAGAAATGGAATCAGAGGAGCAGATTGCAGAAAGAAAAAGGAAGATGGTAAGTTGGGAAGCAAGTAGCTGCCTGAAAGGCATCATTAAGGCTTAGTGACACCTGCTCTGCCCAAGCTAATTGCTGCCTTGTCGTGGGCTTGTACAATCTGCACATGTGCAAAGTCGGATCCTTACATGAACTTATGCTTAAAATGCAAGGCTTGCTATTTGAGAACAGTTCATCTGGGTTCATCACTGCATTCTGACAAAAATCTGCTTTTATCTTCAATTGTATATAATGTTTTTAGTGTCTTTAGATGATCTCAGCAGTGCCTGTTTTAGATATAATTATTTGCTCTTTTATTATTGCTTGTTGTTTGTAGTGGCCATTTTTAAAGATAGCATAGGAAATCAAGGTTTTCCCTTATTTTATTTGAATTCCCTACTTGAATAAAAAGTCTCAGAAATCCTGATTTTCAGATTATTGTAGAACGGTGTTAATAAAAGTAGCATCTTTAAATGTGGGGGTTTTTTGTTAAGTATTTGAGAAATTAAGCAAGTTCCTAAATCCAGAATAGGACTCTCTTGTTTGTCAGGCTGATCTGGATGCAAGCCTTTCTTTAGAAGTCTAGTATATGCAGTGATTGTCCCTTTAATCTAAGCTTTTGCTGAACTTGATCTTCATGACAGACATACATTGAACATGTTTTAAAGTACTTTAAAAATGGAGAATAATTACATGCTTATATATTTGAAAGATTATGACTAAAACCGATCATGATTCTTATTAAATCCATCAGACAAGAGAAGAACGGAAAATGGAAGCTATCCTGCAAGCTTTTGCCAGACTAGAAAAAAGAGAAAAAAGAAGAGAACAGGCTTTGGAAAGAATCAGCACCGCAAAAACGGAGGTTAAATCAGAATGCAAAGAACCACAGATTCTAAATGATGCTGAGTTTATTCAGGTAGTTTTTTTGGGCTTTATTTTAAAGTTAGCTTTTAACATTGCATATTTTGTCAATTTGGATGGCGAGCTGCATGTTAAGATGTATGAAATATATTTTTTTTTTCCTCTGAACTCAAATATTTTGGTTCTTTGACATTGTATTTTATTAGCTCCTGATTTTTTTTCCAGATAAGATGGGTATAGAATTTTTCAGTGAAGAATTTCAGTTATGTGAATTTATGCAAACCTGTACACACACACACACACACACACACACACACACACACACCAGCTGTGTAATTCAGTCTGTCTTTGAAGTTCGTGGTAGAAGTATTTATCAATGTTGACTTTAGCCACAGAAGGTGACTGTCCTTAAGCACCCTCTCTAACCAGTGGAGAACAATTTGTTTCTTCAGTGGGTTTTTCAGGAGCACATAGTATTATATTCTTCCTGTTATTTTAAAGGAAATGAGTTAGTAAAGTCTATTTTTTTTTCTGAGTTCTTGCAGATGATACTTAATGTTTTACAAATAATTTTTAACTGTTGTTAATGGCTGCTTCTCAGTTTGTAAATACTCACATAATGATTTTCAGTCCAAGTTGTTTCCCTGAGCTGATGTGTGTCAGCATTCTCTTAAGTACCTTCTGTTATAAAGCTGAACATCTAGTAAACTGTGAATTGCTGAAAAATATTGGACTGAAAGACATCATGATATAAGCAGTTGATTTTTAGCTTATGGATGGATGAATGAATGAATGAATGTTAGTTCTTACACAAATTTGTCATGATCTGACTGGTGATGGGTGTGTGTGAATACTGATGATGATACAGCTTGGTAGGAAACTGCAGGAAACCTGTCATTTGCCTTCAAGAAGGAAAATTCTATTCCTTCAAGAAGGAATATTGTAGTTCTGATACCAAAAATGAGAATGAGACTTTTTGGACCTGTAAAAGAAAAGAGAACTGACTGGTTTTTTTTCCTAATAAAGATAAGTAGCTCTGAATGTGTATGGGATCTGTTTGCTAGATTTCTGTCTTGTCACAGGAACCGGCAAAAGAAGAAACTGCCACCAAGCCCACCCCAGCGAAAGTTAATAGAGCTAAACAGAGAAAAAGCTTCTCGCGGAGTAGAACTCACATTGGACAGCAGCGCAGGCGACACAGGACCGTCAGCATGTGCTCAGATATTCAGCCCTCCTCTCCTGATGTGGAAGTAACTTCACAGCATAACGAAACTGAGAATGCAGCACTGGTAGCTGAGCCTGAAACAGAAACTGTTGTTACAGAAATGGTTACTGAAACAGAAGCTCCAGCACTTAGTAAATGCCCTACTAAGTATCCGAAAACAAAGAAGGTAAGTCTCTTGAGGGATGGGGAAAAGATGGACCTTAACAGAGTTTTTAAAAAGTTATAAACTTCTTCATCAGTATGCAACTGCATGTAAGATTTTTTTAAAATGTTCACTCATTTCTTGTAAAATCACCATTGTATAGCCACTCAGTGATAATAGATTAAAATACGTGTTAACATCTTTTGGTGGAAGTTGGTTTGGACTTAGGACACTTGGAAAATACATATTCAGAGCAACTTTAGAACAAAATGGTTTTTAATTGGGCTTTCTGAATGGATTGAAATAATACACATAACCAAAACATAGTTAAAGCTGAATTTAAAGAAAAGCCCAAGGAAATAAGTCTCTCTTTCCTTTGCTCATTGTATGCTTCAGCTAGCAAACAGTATCTCCAAGGAAATTGCTACTTCTAGTACTTCTGAGATGTTCTGAAGTGAATGGAGCAAAACACCCCGAATGTGTATGTGCATGTCTGGAGGGAAAATTCTTACCTCTTCTCTGCTTTGTTTTTAAATTTCTTTCCAGTGGACTACATTGCAAAAAACTTGTACAAAATGGCATAATAATAAAAGACACTTAAAAATCTTAAATCTGCAAGTTCAACTAAAGCAGTACAGCTTTCTGCTTGAAAATTCATAGAATGCATTAAAAAGTATTTGTAGTGTGTTTTACAAGAAGTCCTGAAAATTTTAATCAGTGGAGAAAAAGGGGGAGAAAGTCATAGGTCAAAACTTCTTGTCAAAAGAAAAACACCAATTTCAAGATTTTTTTTTTGTTGTTTAATCTTAAAACCCCCAAACGTAATTTAGATTTTTTTTTTCCAAAAGGTACCTGAGTCATCCTGTAACACTGCTTATTTGCATCACTGTTACATTCTTGTGACGGGGAGCACTAGAACCTTTCTTCCTTTCTTGCCTGTTGCATAGCAGAAAAGAAGGAAGACATCCTTAATATCATGAAGCAGCAAAAAAGTGCAGTAAAATTCAGGCTTCAGGTATCTGTGAAATGTCTCTGCATTGCACCCAGTGTAGTCTAAGTGCAGAGAAGATCTTGCTTTAAAAATTAATTAAATAAAAATGGGTTTTTAAAAGACAAAATAAAATATATTACGATGATTTGTGTTAAAGCCTTAATGTCATATTCATGTTATTTAATGTTGCATGTACTTAATTTTGAATCACTTGTAAAATCACTGTAGAAAAAGAAAGGTTAGTTTATCTGTTAATAGAAACTAAAATCTACTGGCGTATTTTTTTAAAACACTAAACTAGCTAGGAAAGAATAGCCTTTTTAGACCAGTGTATCTTTGTATTTAATTACACCACATTTGCTATTACAGTTGAAGAGTGTTGAGGGCAGCTGCCTGACATGTTGACTGAGGCACAGTCCTGACAGTATGGAAATCTGATGAGGGGTTTCTTTAACTTTGCTCTATTAATGTTACACTATTTCTCCTCAGCCTGGGTGCTCAGGCACAAGTTTGAATTTTGGTTTAGAATTGTGTTAGTAAATTGACAGCCTAAATACAGTTGATCTGGGTACTTGGATGTTTAGTGAGAATTAAATGCAATAGAACTAAGTAGTTTACAACCAAAAAAAAACCCCAAAAAACTAAACACCCCTGCCCCTCCCCCAGACTGGTGTGTAAACAAATCTGTACTGATTTCTTCTGCTGTCCCCATGATTTCTCTGTAACTGACCCTCATTCTTGCCAGGTATTCTTAAACTTGGAAACAAACTGTTTCTGGTTTGTGTAATACTTGACTAGCTGAATAATTGAACTAAATAGCTTTTCAAAGCCACTGGTAAACACACTCTCATAAAACACTATTTTTTTTTTCTTCTTTCTCTTTAGCACTTGGTTAGTGAATGGTTAAGTGAAAAGAGTGATAAAGCAGGGAAGCCTACAGACACTCTGCCAGAAAGGCCTCTCCGCATAACCACCGACCCTGAAGTTCTGGCTACTCAGCTGAATTCTTTACCTGGTCTCACTTACAGTCCCCACGTATATTCAACTCCAAAGCACTATATCCGTTTTACTTCTCCATTCCTTTCAGAGAAGAGGAGGAAAAAAGAACCTGTGGAAAACATTACTGGCTCTTGTAAGAAGGTAATGCTTCCCTTCATTACCTTCATTATTCATGGGTGTTCTATCCCATATTAATTAGAAAAAAGTCTTTATTTTCTAGCATAAATTCAGGCAGAAGAAAGGCTGTTTGGCAAACCAGTCATGTTACACATTTTGAAATGTTCATCATTGAAGTTTTAAGTCACTAATTGGAACTTCTTGTTGTATTACAGCGTTGGTTGAAGCAGGCTTTGGAAGAAGAAAATTCAACAACAATTGATAGATTTAATTCACCCTCACAAGAGAGATCTAGAAGTCCAGCCATCAACGGTGAACATAAAAGTCCTTTATTACTGAATGACAGCTGTTCCTTAACAGGTGTGAAGCTTTTGTAAATAGATTACATAAGAGCTGTGTTGAAGTAGCTGATTGTGGACCACTGTGGGTTTTAAAGTGATGAGTTGATGAAAAGTCCAGGGGGATTTGCATGTTTTCCTGATATTTTCTTTGAAAGAAATGCTTAGTTGCATAGTGGTTGAGAGTTTTTCCCCCTTTAATGTATATTAGATAAGAATATTTCCTAGCATTTACAGCCAACAAAAGATTAATGGTTTTGGTATTAGTATTAAGAGTCAGGTTATAAATTTAATTTTCTATACTATCTCTGTACTTAGAATCCATTTAAAACTTGGTAGGCCAATGTAGCATAGGGAGAAAAGCTGTGTAATCTTGCAGGCATAATAGAAAATTGGAGTGCACTAAAACCATCTTTTAGCTAAACAGTCTTAAAAATGCATAGAGGTTGACTTACCTTCTCTGGGGACATAGACATTTCTTCCCAGCATCCTAGCATGCAGAATTCAGTTACTGATGTATCTGTAGGCTGTTAAAGAGTTCATCTCTCAGGAATCCTGCCCTTCAGAGACCTTTTTAATCTTAGAATTCTTTCATTTGGAATTCACAGTTTCACTATATGAAGTATTTGACTGTGATTGTTATATCTAGAAATCTTGTAACTTTTCTAATTTTAACATCCAGATCTAACCACACCACTAAAAAAACGAAGACTGTATCAGCTGTTGGAGTCTGCTTTCTCAGAAACCTCCACACCTACTCCTTCTCCCTATGCCACACCAACCCATGCTGACATCACTGCCTCCGAACCATCATTGTTTGCTACTCCTCCAAGGGTGAAAACAGAAGATGAAGCTTGTCGAAATGGTTACAAACCCGTATATTCACCAGTTACTCCTGTAACTCCATGTATACATGGAAATACCATGCACTTTGAGGTGAGATTTATAATGAATTTTAGAGCATTCAGAGAAGTGTGCAGACGTTGCAGTGTAATCAGTATTTGTATTCCTGCTACAAAATGAGGGGGGTGTATTTCTCTAGGCTAAAAAATTGACTTGCAATTTCTTCTTGTTTATTTAGAATATTTCCTCACCTGACAGTTCCCCAGAAATAAAAAGGCGAGCTTACAGTCAAGAGGTAAGGAGATTAGCAAAACCTGCTAATGGTATCTCAGTTTCACCTGTATGGCTGCTCTGTTCTTAGTGGATGGTTTTCACCAACCATTGCAAGTTTCTGAGAATTTAAAGGGTAACTTCCCCTTAAGTTTTACCTGTTATATTCTCTGTTTTAATCTGGTTTCTCCCTGTATCACTTAAAAATCCTGATTTGGATGAGGATCAACTCTTGTAATGGAAAGGAGCAACAACTTTGTAGATAGGAACAGAAAGACAACAGTTTGCTTTCCAGGCTGTAGTTAGATTCAGATTAACATTTCTCCTTGTTACCAGCATTTCTTAATTGTTCTTGTTAATCCCAGTTATGCTCGAAGTGAGAGAGCAGAAAGTTAGTTAAGTCAGCATAGGTGATGCATTAGTTGAAGAGCAAGGAATATGCCTGGGTACTCTCAGCCTGCAGGATGCATGTAGTCTGCTGTGAGGCTTCATCCTAAAATTTGGGAGTGTCTTGGAGAAACCTCTCCTTCCTTGTCCCTCTTTGAAATAGGTGTTTTGATACTGAGAGGGATTGCTTTTATGTTGAAGCAAAAGCTTTCTAGCTTCCTGGCATGGGACTTGCTCCTTTTGAAGCCCCTCCTCTTCCTCTGCCAGTCATAAATAAAACCTGGTGCTTAATGTGTATTTTTACTTTGGTTAATGTACATCTTATTGAAATGCTTTAACCTAATAAATGGGAATAGTAGAACTAAGTGTCTGACTGTAGAACTGTTTCTTAAAAACAGATAAATTCATGGTACTGGAAGGCCTTTAATCCCTCTTAAAGGCACATCTGAATGTCAAATAGTTGTAGGTTTGATAGAGTGTGAAAAAATAGTTACATGTTTTTTCTTCATGCAGGGTTATGACAGAGCATCGATTCTAGCACTGAATTCTTTCAGAAATTCCAACCTGACAGAAATGGGCCTGCAAGAAATAAAGACTATTGGATATTCTAGTCCAAGGAATAGGACTGATGTCACACGGCAGTGCACTGGAGAAATGGAATCTGTGTCAGACCTCCAGCTGGGACTCGAAGTAATTGAGCAAAGTGCACTGCATAAAAACCTGGAAGCCCCCACACATGATAGGACTGATTCAAACAGCCAATTAGAAACTGCTCATTGTGGACGGGGCACAATTTATTCTTCCTGGGTCAAAAGTCCTGACAGGACAGGTGTAAATTTCTCAATGAATTCTAATTTGAGGGACTTGACCCCTTCACATCAGTTGGAGGTAGGAGGTGGATTCAGAATAAGCGAGTCAAAGTGCCTGATTCAAGACGATGCAAGAGGCATGTTCATGGAAGCATCTGTTTTTTGTACTTCAGAAGATGGAATTGCACCTGGCTTTGGAAGGACTGTCAATAACGACAATTTGATGGATGGAAATTGCACACCCCAGAATCCTCCACAAAAGAAAAAGGTTATAACTTTAAGAATCATTTGGTCTGTCTTCCATTGTCTGCTAATGATATTTCTATAACAGAAAGAACCCCAATGTAATAAAAACCAACTGATGGCTCATACTTACATACTACAGTGTATTAGACATTCAGGAGAAATAAGGAAGGGCAAAGAGCAAAGCTGCATAAAACTATTAGTAAATTTATTTTTTCAACGTAAAAGATACAAATTTTATTTCATATGAGTCTTAAATGAATTGCCCAATAAATAATTGCTTTTCAGCAAAATGAAAATGGTTGCTTATGCCACCTGGTGTTACAATATTCTGTTGTACAGAATATATACTAGCACCATAGAGACCAGACCATAGACTGTGAGCATCTATTATGAATTACTGCAAGAAATTGCAACAACAAATTCATGCCACTCAGATTTTGGTTAGAACTGCATAGAAATCCTCAGTTCCAAGAAATATTTTTCTTGACTCAATTTGGGTTTTTGGTTTTTTTTTTTTTATATTTGAAAAATAAGCACAATCTAAATTGGCTACTGTCATGAAACAGTTCTTGTTGATAAGTGATGTAGTCATGGGTAACTCAAACCAGGATTGGAAGTTACTTTGCATAATTCTTAGACTGCATTGCACTGTCAGGTTGACTTCCTTTGCAGAAAGAATGACACAGATGAAAGGCAGTGGTCTACAGTGTGCCAGCTTGCCTGTTCTGTCTCCTCACAGACTCTAGTAATCTCTGTTGTTTAAAAGGTGTGATTTATTTTCTTTACAGAAGTAGTGATGAGGAGGGTGGATTTTTCTGCATGTGTACATGCCTGCACAATGGGATTTGGGTATTTTTGGTCACGTTGCAGCACCTTGTACATGCCTGCTTCTCTGGGGCAGTCTGCTGGGCAGCAGTGAGGAGTCTTCCTTTTAGTAGTTCTCCATCAGAACTGCATTTTTTTTACTTCCTTCAAGCCGAGACATAAATGGAGCAATTTGTAGGAGCTCTGATCTTACCTGGTCACAGCCCTGAGAATTTGATAGATCTTGTGTGTGTAACTATAGCCCTCCTCTTTTGGCAAACCTATAAAGAAAATATAAGCCAAAAATTCCTGTAACTTCACAGCCTTCTTTTCTGAAGGCTAAAATAGTCTTCACAAATCCTGTCAGCACTTAGTACTTCAGTAACCCTCCCCACTTCTTTTGCTGGCAAGGATTGTTCCAGGTCCTTACTGCTGACAGCTTATCTACACTAATCCTCCAATAAAAAAAGGTGTGTCTGTCCCCTGACACCCCCCAGGCCCAGGATTCCTGTCTGAAAGTCTGTTTGAAGAAGCAGCCAGGGAAAATTGCATCTGTACCCATGAAAGAAGGGGGTTTAGGATTTCTGAGGACACACAAAAATTTGAAACTTTAGTATAAAAAAAGAGGTCCCACCTAAGGTAAAAGGTGAGAATTCAGGAATTTTGTAGGAGACTCAAAAAAAAAAAAAAAAAAAAGCCTTTTCCCTAAGGTCATGTAAGACAGCAATATCCTTAGATATTTGCAGGATGTTTTTGCATATTTCTACATTTCTGTGGACATTTGCTTCTATTATTTCTTACTGTTGCAGAAGTCCTTTATCAGTACAGTCCTGTACATTGTGGCCACACTACATGAGTTTCTTAACATATAAGCTTCCTTTAAAGCAGTGTTCTTTAGGGGGTCCCTGTCACGTGATGTGGAAATACTACAAAATTGTTTGAAAGCAAGATCAATTCTTAATAGAAATGATTTATGCAAACTGTTTTTGCATGAATTTTTTATGAATTATTTTATGTAAAATCAGATATTTTTCACTGTTTTTCTCTGACATATGGATGGATCTCTAATAGATTTGTTTGCAGTCCTAAGGGGTTTTGTTTGTTTGCTTTCAAACAGAACAGCTGCTTTGGTTTTTCTCTCAGTGTAGAAATGGATGTCCAGTTTTATTGAAGATTAAGCCAGTTAAGTTAGACATTAATTTTTCTCATTATTTCAGTTTCTTGGTTTGGATGCTGTATGGTTCAGAGCAGGATGTTGACATTCATAGACATTAAGTGTAATTTTTACCAAACTTGTTACTGAATAAAGTAGGTCTGAAGGTCAATATTTCAGCTTCTACTTCAAATCCCGAAGATTCATGGTGAAAACATTTCAACACATTTTTTCCACTACTGGAGGCAATTTACTAACCACCAAAATAGGTTTCTGTTCTATGGAACTTTGGTGTAGTGATATTACATACATAATACATGAAATAGGAATCATGTGTTATTATTTTTGATAGAGTTAGCTTAAAAATATGTTCTTAATTGGTCTCTCTTGAAGTGCAGTTAAGACAAATTCAAAATAAACCAGGAAAAGTAAGTTGCAAATTTTCTATGTTAAAGAAAGGCATAAAGAGCCTAGTGAATCCTTTGGTGTATGAAGCAGAAGGAGTAGTGGGTTCTGATGCAAGGGAGTCAGTCTGAGAGCAGGATGTGACATCTCCTGAAATTAGTTTTACTAGATCAGTATAATCCTAAAATTCTGGAGTTCCAGGAGAAACTGTAGAGTCCATTTTAACTACAGCCAACAGCAACTACAGCCAAGAAAAGGTCCACTTCAGTAGTGGGTGGACCTTTTGCTGACCTGTGGCATCTGCTTCTTCCCTGAGGCAGAACACATAGTTCTTCTCTTGGCAGAAGCATTTTTTTAATACCACCTTTACAGCTGGTAATAGCTCAGTACTCTGTAAATTCCACTGCAAATGTGGTGAAATATCTTCAATTAATCTCTATCCTTTTTATTTTAGAATCAATTACATGGCACATCTCACTCAAATATAGTGCATTTAATAGAAACCGTGAGAAAGAAAAGGGGTAAAACTTCCTTTCTAATGTTTCTTTATGTTTTGTTTTTTTCCTCCTTAGGTGTCCTTGTTAGAATACCGTAAGAGGCAACGTGAAGCTCGAAAAAGTGGTTCAAAGACAGACAACTTCCCCCTGGTTACTGTATCTCCTCATGCTGCTGGTGGAGGAAATACAAGTAGTAATAATGGTGCTAGTGATGGGTATAACAACAGTGGAGAAAATGGGGAGCAAACTGATAACACTGCAAGCCTGCCTTTACCACTGCCAACTACTGTTTATAATGCAGCTCCAGAAGACACTGGCAACAACTGTGCAATTAAGGAATCTTCCTCCAGTGAGAAGAGTGAACCTGAAGTTCAGTGGTAAGCCACAAAACTACAGGACTCTGATTCAGAAGAATTATTTATGTAAATCAAAGTCTTTGGTGTTTGAAATCTGTTTTTAATTAAGGCTGCTATTGCAGATTACTGATGGAAGACCTTCTTCCAGCTTAATAAAGAGTTGTCTTACCTTTTTCCTCAGAAATACAGCAGACACACAATTATTTGAATACAGGAAGAATTACCCATAAGATATTTATTCAATTATTTTAATTCTACTTTTTTATCTTCTAATGGCAAAATAGGTATTGGGTTTGAGCGTTTGTGTCCTTGTATTTCCACTGCCTTTTCTGTGAGCTGACGAGAATTTTTTATGTTAAAGCTCAAAACCTTTGCAAAAGTAGCATAGGGCATAAGGTGCAACAGGAGAATAATCTGTACTGATTAGCAAAGGCTTCTGGAAAACCTTAGGAGGTCTGGTTTTCAGTCATGTGGCTGGAATGTGTGTGGGATGTTTGCTGTTGCTTGATTGCCCTGTGCAGGGCTGAATGCAGCCTGGCCGGCAGCTCCTGCTCGGGTGGGAGCGTGTGGTGACACACACAGCAGTTACTCAGTGGTTCCCTTGTTTGCAGACCACATGGGCAGTGTGTGCAATGCCAGATACTCCAAACAATCTCAGATCCCGAGGAGAGGTGGGGTTTGGATGGGGAGAAGATAGAGTGACTTCAGTCTGTATAAACAGATTTTTCACTGAGTTTTTTTGGTAGCTTTAAAATAGATGATCAGCTCTGGTGACACTGTCTCCAAAACATTATTAGTGCAAAATAAATCCTGCAGATGTTCTTCATGCTGTAGTGAATGCCTAACTGTGGTGGGGATGAACCATGGGCTTAGGAGTTGAAACTTCTTCCACTCAGATGCTCCAACTATTCCAGAAAAGAAGATTTTGTAAAGCCAGTTGAAGGGAGAGCATAAGTGCACTGTGCAGAAGCTACTGCACTAAACTGTGGAAACAGGCTAAACAGGGAAGAATTTACTATTAGATTTTGCAGTAACCTTGCAGAGAAGCACCAAAACTTATTGCAGTGCAGCAGTATTGTGAAGTGATGGATGCCATATGCCCTTGCCAGAAATGAGAATAGTTTTGTGGAGTGCTTTCACTTACAATGTTCCTGGTCAGGTTGTGATTGAGAGATGTTAAGGGTTCTGAGAGACATGTGACTGTCAGTGCATACCCACTGTCTGGCAATTCAAGTGTAGAAGCTTAAACAGGGATAGATTTGCAGTGGTACACAATTTACAGCTGTGCATCTTCTATTAAAGAGCAGATTCTTAACAAAAAAGATGACTGCTTCCAATTCTGGAAGAAGACAGTTTTCTGCAAATTGAGACTATGAACCAGTAACTGTGACCTTTATCTTTTTACTGTTCAGTTGTTTAGACAAAGAAAAACCCACAGATCTACAGATACTTCCTTAATAAGAGGAAATGCCAGTTTAATGTAACAAGGTCGCAGGAAATCACTGTATTTAAAGTGGGAGAAAATAGATACAAACCACTTAAGTAATAATATTCCTTATGCACAGCCAGTTATTTGGTTGTTACATGCAGCCAATGCTGTAAACTTTGTCTGACTCAGTATTTGCATACACACTGTCCTAAATTTGGTCCATGGGAGTACATACTGTTAAATTTAAAATGGACTTCTCTTGCAGGACTGCATCAACCTCTGTGGAACAAGTGAGAGAACGAAGTTACCAGAGAGCTTTACTTCTCAGTGATCATAGGAAAGACAAGGACAGTGGTGAGTTGATTTATTATTTTGAAGATACAGAAATCTAACCAGTTCCCCCATGGTAATCTGTAATAATTCTAATATTGTGTTTGGGTCTGCTTCATCTGTAGGGGGAGAATCACCCTGTAGGCCATGTTCACCGTCTCATGTTCAGTCTCCATCTCATTCAAATCTCATTTCCCAGTTGCAGCTTAAGGTCCCTTCTTTCACTGAGATTACGGAAGGTCAGTAAGCAGATGACCTTGTATGACACTTGACATATTCAGTAGTCTTAACAACAGCTTTAAGAGCTCTTTTAAAGTCAAATATAAAGTGCTTAGTGATCTCTGCAAAAGATTTGGTTTTCCCACTTCGATATCTCTGCTTTATTTCTGTAGAACCTGATTCTGAAAATCCGGAGCCAACTTCTGAATGTCCGTCCCCAGATACTTCACAAAGGACTTGTAAGAGTCCATCAAAAGCAAGCAAGGTAATGCAAGGTGTTTTACAATATTCATAGGAATAGCTCCATACATTTCTGATTTACCTTTAAAAATGTTAATCGTAGAATTTACTACTTTGGTGACATACACATATGTTCATCTATCTGTGCAGTAATTTAACATGGGTAGACATTTGCAAGAATGTTTGTCCATATACACTAAGAAGGGTTTATATGCTGTGCTTTCAGTAGCTGTATATGTTTATGGGTGATCTTACACTCTGTAGACAAAGAAGAGATGGCATCTGCTGTTCTGAGGTGTGAATGCTGAAGAACTGGCACTCAAAACCGACAGCAGTGATGTGATTTACCCTTAACAGGAGCTTGCTCTGCCAGGGTTTGGCATTGTTTGGCAGTCAGGGCTTTGAAGGATGTTGAGTAGTTGCCATATTAAATGAAGTAATTCAGGTTGTCATATTTAATCTGTTTGCATGCAGTATCCCAGCTTTAAAACATTAAATCACTCTAATAATTGCTTTATTTCTGTAAGTGATGTTCTCTGGAATTACTTCTTTCAGATTCAGAAATCTAAGGCTTTTAACAAAGAACAGATTCAGACTTTGACCTAATAGATAATATTTCTGTTACAACTTTAAAATACTTCAGTGGTCTTTGACTTGGAAGAATTATTGATAGGCACTTGCTAAAAATAGTGCCTTCTTAATCTTACTCTATAATTGATGTTTTTCTCACACCAAATACATCCTGTGCCTCAGCACTTTTTTTTTTTCACAATCTGGGAGGAGAGTGTTCTGAGATGTTCTTTTTCGTTTATCGTGTGTATGGTTGAATATTTTGAACATTGAGCACTGACTGCCTTTCTTTTCATTCCAGCCCTCTTCACCGAGTCCTGTAGTTTCAGCACAGCCACTTGGGAAAACACCCTCAAAACCAGATTCGCACTGGGAAACTGCAGCTAATGCACCTGAGTCTGAATGTGCGAATCATCCAAAATCTGAGGTGCAACAGAAACAGGTGACAAACAACGTCCAAGCACTTTCAAAAAATCATCCATCTCAGTCACATCTGCGCAGCTCTGCTGAGCAACTTTCACATTCACAGAAGTTGCCTTCTGCACCTTTGAAGCTGCATTGCCCCCCTTCGCCTCACGTAGAGAATCCCCCCAAGTCTTCTACCCCTCATGCGCCTGTGCAGCACGGTTACCTTTCACCAAAGCCTCACTCACAGCAGCTGGGATCTCCATACAGACCTCATCATCCACAGTCACCTCAAGTTGGAACGCCCCAGAGGGAAACACACAGAAACTTCTACCCTGCAGCACCGACCCTCCAGCCCAGTAATCAGGCGCAGGCTAGTGGCCCGCTCTTCACTCAGACAACATCAGGACAATCTTCAGCTTCCTACAGCCAGTTTAACCAACAAAATTTGAACAGCAATGCGCCACCTCCCCCACCCCCTCCACCCCCTTCTTCTACTTACTATCAAAGCCAGCAGCCCTCTGGAAACTTTCAGAGCTACAGCCAGCTGAAGGGCAGCATACCCCAACAGACTGTGTTTTCATCTGGACCAAATCAAGCACTTCCTGGCACTGCGGGTCAGCAAACAGTGCCAGGACACCACGTAGCTGCAGGGCATTTTTTGCCCTCTCAGAACCCCAGTATTCATCACCAGGCATCGGCATCTGCTGCTCCTCCTCCTCCTCCACCACCCCCTGCTCCAGGTCCCCACCTTGTCCAGCAGCAAAGTACTCATCAGCAGCACTCTGTAGCACATGTTGTTGGTCCAGTTCACGCCATGGCAGTGGCTCCTGGATCACACATTCATTCTCAAGCTGCTGGTCACCATTTGCCACCACCACCTCCACCACCAGGTCCTCTCCCCCACCACCAACCTCCCCATCCTTCCACGGGACACCAAGGTTTGCAAGCACAACACCAGCACGTTGTAAACTCGGCACCGCCTCCCCCGCCGCCCCCTCCCTCCAACGTGATCGGCTCGGGGCACCACCCCGCATCAGCACAAGGGTTACACCACCCATCGCATCAAGGACCCCCCCATTTCCCTTCCAATGCTCACACAAGCGTCTCCTCCTACTCCTCGCAAGCCTCACATCACACAACGTTAGGACCTGGACCTCAACATCAGCCTGCTGGCACAGGACCTCACTGCCCACTCCCTGGTCAGGGTCCTCACATCCAACCTCAAGGACCAAACAGTATTGCAACACCTACTGCTTCCGGGTTCTGCCCTCACCCCGGCTCCGTGACCCTTCCCCACGGAGTGCAAGGGCAGCAGCAGGCCTCGCCCGTGCCAGGACAGATCCCCATCCACAGAGCACAGGTGCCACCCACCTTTCAGAACAATTACCATGGGTCAGGGTGGCATTAAAACGGATCCCTTTAGTTATAAGCATTTTTAAAATGTTCTGTAATATAAACTGTATATTTAATATGTACCTATTCAAGGTACTTTTTAAAGCTTGTACATGATACTTTGTATAAAAGCAAACACCAGTGCTCTTCCATTGTATCCTTTCCATTTTTTGCTTTTTAAAATTCCTGAAAACGTGCTGTTAAGCCAGTATTTGGTATTTCTTTTTATTTTGTAAGTGGACATTCCAGCTGTTTTTTCTGGCAGTAGGTTTGATGCTGCATAATGTTTAAAATTTTATTGTTGCAGTTAAATTCATTTAGTGAAAGTTTTCTATATTACTTTTATACATATGTAATTAAATAAGTACACAGGCTAAGTGATGGCACTAACAGTTTTTTTTTCCATTTTCTGTCAACAGTTTTTTGTGTGCATAGAGATAGGAAACAATGCAATACAGATTTTTATAGTTTTGGTGTGGACATGGCTTTTTGTTTCATCAGTTATTTGCAGAAATTGTAATTTAATGTATAGACTGTTTCTAATGTCTCAGACGAGTGCTGTAAATACTGTATTTCTTTCGCTTGTAAAGTTGCTTAAAGCTTCTTTCATTTGATATAGTATTGTATATAATAAGTCTTTTGCAAAAAAAAAGTGTGATCTTTGTGAAAGTAGTACAGTATATGATCTTTAATTTTTTTAATATACTGTCACATTGCAGCACTGGTTGGGCATTTTAATTCATGTTAATAAATCACAATTATGTCAGTTTTACCTACTTGTCCTGAAAGGGTGCTATTATCAGCAGGAAAGTGGCCTTAAGTATCTGATCTCCTCTGCTGTCTGCAAGGCTCTTTGCTTCTCTGCAGTTTCCAGCTGTGGCTTCACCTCTGTAGCACAGACAGATGTGGAACAGGCTGGAGGAGGGGTATTCTTTCCCCTGCTCCCTCTAGAGGTTGAGGAATAACCACCCCAAGCACAGCAGAGTCCTGGGTCAGTTTACTGATAGGGGGCATCAGGGGCACTGATGGATATTTATGCTGGAGGTGTTCTGACCTTGGTTACAGAGCAGGGCAGCAGTGCCTGCTGCAGTACCTTCCTCTTTCCCTTCTCTGGTGCCTCCTCAGGCCCTCCCGTTGGGGTGTACTGGGAGAGCTCAGTGGGTGGTGCTGTAACAGGGTACAGAATGTTACAAACTGTTTGGGTAGCAGTTTCGGGTTTTTGTAAGGGAAGGCATTTATTTATTGCTGCTGCAGCAAGCGGCAGCTGAGATGGTGCTGTTGTGCTCACCTGTGCAGTTACTCTGCCATGGTGAGGGCATCCTTCCATCCCAGCAGTGACTGCTCTCAGTCCTGCCCACACAACAGGACCGTGCTCAATGGCTCCACCTCAGACCAGAGGGGGAACCAGTGGGAATGCTGGAACGGCACAGGAGGGGAAGTGGCTGCTCCTCCCCACTAAAAAGCAATGGTAATTCTTTGTAACGTGAAAAAGAAGGGGGCCACTTAATTTGCTTCTTACTACTGAAAAAATCTTCATAGTTAAAATCATACACTAGAAATGCTTTCCTGAACACCTGCTGACTCTGCAGAATGCACACGAGAATTCACATTTTACACTAGCATGTGTAGTGTAGGGACAGCATTACGCTGTCAAAACCAGAAACACCCAACCCTCCATCTGTGCAGCTGCTCAGACACTGATTTTGGAAAAAAAATGTGCATCATCCTGTCTACCCCAGCGTTCAGATCTGGTTGTCTGCCCGTCTTCTGTACCTCCAAGAACTGACAACATTTCAAATACAAGAGAATGTAAAATAACCCAACTGTGCTTGGTAAGGTCGTAGTGCAATACAGGGAGCAGAACAGGACGAGGCCTTTGCAGGGCTCCCCAGTGCTGCTGCAGCACCAAGGCCAGGCAGAGGGCAGAGCTGTGCCAGCCCTGGGCTGCCCTGGCACTTCATTCCTGTGCCAGCACTTTCTGTGTATTCAAGAACACGTTTCTAACAAGCACTACAGAGCTGGACTGGGTGTGAAGCTGAACGTAATTTTTACCTCCAGTGTGAGTCCATTGTGGCATCGTCCTCCTGAGCAGTGTTGTCCTTGCAGGCACTAAAAGCAGTTCGAGTGATGAGGGTGAAGACACGGGGTCCTGAAGCCCAACTGCCGTAGGGGCCTCAGCACTGGACAAGTTTCCCCGGACCAGGGTGTTCCGCACTGCGGTGCCTTGGCAGTTCCATGGAGGAGTGGCTGCCCCAGCCCTGGGGACGGGACAATCGCTCCCTTGTTTACAGGACTTGTTACAGAACAGCTGGTAGGAAAGACGCTTTTTTTTTGGTCACATTTCACCCAGCAAACCACTCCCTCCCAGCCCCTCCCTTCACAAAAACCCGTGGGGCTGCTCTGACAGACACCAGGTGATATATTTCATAAATAAACATGGGAAGAAGCTTCCTTTTTCTGACCAGGACAAGCCAGCCCCCACCTCCCAGCCCTCCAGCACCCCCACAGCTGAGTCGTGGCTAGGCAAAGATTCCAATGACCAGCAACACTGTCTGAAAAAACAAAACACTTTAATTAGACAACTGCAAGCACCTCAAACAACTGGTTATTGTTACAGCATGGGGCTATCTTCTCACAATCTAGTTATTGCAAAGGCATGTGAATAAATTTTATATGGACAAAGTCAAGAAAAAAGTGGCACTGTAGTTACATGAAGATCAGGAGTAAGCTTACATTCATCCCACTGACTTCTAAAAGAGGCCCAAACACACCTCCGTACTGTACATTCTAAAATCTGTATTGCCTATAAGCTTCAGCCTATGCAGCTTTTTTTCCTAGGAAACACATAATTGTTGCGTGCAACTTACAATGGGCAGTCGTATGTCTACGGATGGGAAAGAATAAAGCTAGTGCAATTTGTTTTAGAAACATGTAAAGCTATGAATGGAATGAGCATGATCTTGCTTCTTGGATTATTTTACCCACTGCACTGTAAATATCTGCAGCTATATCCTTCCTTAACTGATGCCAAGCACACACTTTTATTATAAAAGATCAGTAATTCTACACAGAGAGTGGTTCTCATGCTCTACTTTTAATTTTTTTTCTTTTTCTTAAGGTATAGTACAACTTACAGTGCTTATAAAAAGGCAACACCATATGGTACCATGTCTTCACTATCACATTGTAAGGGAAATTGCTATTTTTCTTTTCTTAAAAGCACTTAAAATAGGCAAAAGTTCTAAAAGGGAGTGCTAAATGATAATGCATACTTTATTAGAAAGAAGTCTAGCCTTCCTTTAAAGTGCCATTTGGGGAATGAAATCCTGTAAACCAGAGCCACTTTGTTTAAAACCCAATGAACAGGAACTGCTACAGAATAGAAAGTTTACACAATTCCTTAAAGCAGTTTAAAGTCCACTACATGCAATTGGTTTGCTATAAAGCTCTCTAAAACTTAGTTGCTTTACTCTGAAATTGAGTCCCCAGTCCCATATTTAAATGGAAATAAACATTTACAGGGTGCATTTACATACACTATAATACAAGAATGACATCCCTTTGCCAGAAGATAAAATTGTACAATTCCTCGCCGTAACTCAGTTCTGACTTGATAAATTTCTTACACTCGTAAATTATATAATATGCATCAGCTAAAATATTTTTTTTTCATAAATAGTTACAAAACTTGCCAAAACACATGGGGGGAAGTTTCTTTTGTTCAAAAATCTGACATCTGAATGTCACACAACACAAGAAACAATGCTTAAAGACACGTTAAGTGTTTTCTGAAGAAAGTGGGTGAGTAAACTACTAGCTGAGGACAAAAAGACTACCCTTCCCCAAGAACACAGTGCACAAAAAGCAAAATGTCAAACAGTACCTCAAGCAAAATAAAGGTCTGAGGATTGAAGCCAGCTCACGTGTGATCCTGCTAAAGATTTTGTGACAGTCACCATTTAGGTCCAACGCATTGGAAAGTGGTTGCTGGCTTTTTTTTTTTTTTTTTTTTTTTTTTTTTAAAGAGCTGGAAGATTCTGCTAAGAATTCAGCCACGGATGCCTAAGGCATTCTCCAGCTGAAGCACGTTTCTCTGGGACCATTTCTAGCATGGGGATCAGGAAATCTGTAAACTGTGCAGCATCTTCATGAGGCCAACCATACTTCTCCACAAGCACATCAAAAAGACTCCAAGGTTTCAACTTGGTAATGTGTCGGAGTTCTCCTGCAAACAGAAATATTAATGGCATTAGAAAACCACCTTGTTATTCACGTCAATGACTAACCCGTTTCATTTTTCTCCCACTCTGCATTCACAGCACCTTGACCAGGCTGGCAATCATTGTTTAGGAATGGCAGCGCACACCAAGCTTGCTCGAGGTCCTCCAAGGAGATGAATATGTTCCATGTCAGTGCCAAAAACTGTTCCTACAGCCACCAGTATGTTACACTTGGATTCTTCTGCTCTCTTCACTCTCCCGTGCACACAGGCACTCACTCATACTCATGCTCACACCATGGCCAAACGGCACTGCAGGCCTCTCCTCACTCTGCCAGGTCCTTGCCTTGCCACGTGGCATTTACCAGCAATGCAGCAGAGCACTGATTCGTTCCTAACCAAGCCAAGCAGAGGTTTGGTGCTCCACAGATTCTGTTCTGTCTCCCAGGAAAACATCCCCAGGAAGCTTGGTCGAATCTTTCCTGAGAAGGAAGCACCTGCTGCTGCCCAGGTCTCTTCCAACCAACCACCAACATAAGTGCTGGCAGCTGCAGGACTGGAGTTCCCCCCAGAAAGGGGACTTCTGCCAACCCGGCAATGTGTCCCAGACCAAAAGGCAGGAGGTGAGAATCGTTCTGCCATTCAAACCAGCTACACTATCCAGCTTTGTCCACAGGTCATCCAGCATGATGGGGAAAACTCTCCTCCACTGTGTAGGAATGAGGCCCAGAGCCATGAGATGTGCCATGAGGTACGTGAGGAAGGGATTACTGTGGGTATGAGAGGGATGAGCAGCT